TTTAAAAGATTAGTGCGAGAGTACAAGAGCCCTGTCTCTTTAATCCCAACTACTAAATTAAATGTGACCTTACCCAGACATCTCGAAATAAAACTTAATAGACTAAGATCTGGCCTCTTATTAAAATCACACCTTTATGCTCACAACTTCAAAGACATTACTGATCCTTTGTGCCATTGTGGTGTACCAATGACAACCATGCATTTTCTTTTAAAATGCCCACTGCTACAGAATGAAAGAAACAACCTCATTGCAGGCCTTCGTACTTACAATTTAAGTGACTTGTTCAATAACTACAACTTGAATGACAAATTACAATTTTTACTGTTTGGAAGCACTAACCTGGATGCTACTATGAATGAAGCTTTAATTCATATTGTTAGCTATTATATACATACAAGCCTTGTTTTATTATCTATCTAGTAGTAATTTGACAAGTCCTTTTTTCTGCAATGACCGAATTATTTTTCAAGTTCCGTTAACATCCTGGCCCATGGGATAACCTTCAGGTATTTTGAAATAACCTTAACAAATTTATCTTATTTCATTATCTAATATCTACATGTATATATAATATATATATTAAATTGCCGCTAATGTTGCAAAACCTTGGCAATTAGAATTTGTAATTGAATGTAAATGTTTATATTAGAAATAAATTGATAACATGAAAAAAAAAAAAAATTTATGATTACATAGCGTCCATTAATTATATTTTCCTATTAGCATCTTGCCGAGAATATTTCCAGGAGAGTTCACATCAGTCGAGGTTGAAAATTGAATGCAACACGTATTCCAGAAGTCGCGATCCATAGCAATACGTCCACCCTGAAAATCAAATTATGGATGACATGAAATGCTTGTTTTTGGGTATCATATGTAAATTAACTGTCAATTGTTAGGAAGGAATAGGTAATGCTACCTAAGAAAGTAACTATGTTACCTTCACTGTGAACATTTAATAAAAAATGACCTGAATTTGGCGCCAATGATGTCAACAAAGGCAATTAATTAGTTTATACAATTAACTTACACTTGGAATAAATAAATATTTGATGATCTTAAACATGAAATAAAAAACAACCTGGAATTCAAACACGCTTGTCTCATTATTGGGCTCATTCAAACTATTCAAAAGCAGATTGAAAACATTTTGGATAATCTACGTACATATGTCATATCATCGAAGCATTTTTCAATTACGTCATCTGGAATTTTGAATGGCCGATAAGCTGACACGAATTCGTCTTTCGTTATCCACCCATCGCCTGAAACAAAAGGAGAATTACAATGTAACATATTCCACAACTGAATAACTTTCATAAATCAATCAATTACTCAATTTTATAAAACTAATGCCAGTCAAATTGAAATACTATATTGTAATTAAACAATTGAAAATAATACACCACCCTCTTTAATATTAAATATTTAGAACGAAATCGGACGGATAAGGCAGTAGAGTTTCAGACTTACCATTCCCAAGACTGTCAAACACATCAAAGTATAGGTCGAGGTAACTACCATACCAATAAGGTATTTTCATGGTCTTTGCTTTAATTTCCCTGCACATATTCTCCATAGAATCGAGCCACTCGTCAACTGTCACCTTAAAAGTGAATGAGATTTGTCAATTTTAACAGAAATAAGAATTGATGGAATCAATATTCAAACGAGTGATCATATTGTTGCGGTCTCTCTGGTACAGGTTTACTTACATTTATTATATGGTTTGCAAGTAAGTTTCACTACCCATTGTTTTTAATAATTTCACAAGACCGTGCGGATTAACATGCATGATACACATCTTAGGCAAACATAAGTGTGAGCATATCTCGCCTGCACTATTTAAACAAGAATTATCTTCATTTATTTAACGTGTATTAATGAACCACAACATTTTCTAAATATACGATAATATATGATATAACTCAGTTATGCTTAATAGAAAATGTGAAATAACCTTTTTGTCATTATCTTTATCTGCACGGCGTTTGAGCTCCCTCCACAGGCCGTTCATGATGTCAAAGCATCGTACCCACATAGGACTGCCCTTTGACCACTGAGTCAATGCTATAATATTCTAGAAGATAACATAAAATCATAAAATTACTATTTGGCTATACTATTTATTGGATGTTTAGATTTCTCTCATCTACTCTTAATTCCTTGCCATTCCTGTCTTTTCCACGAGTCTCTTAATTGTTGTCCCCTTCTCGTATTTCCTGTCATTTTAGAGGACATAGGACTCTTACGGAAGGGTGTGGAGATATACACCCAATACTTAAATAAATGAGGCATTTATGAAAGTATTAGCATACAATGATTATAAAAACAGTTTCAAGATCCACACACACATGTCTTATCAATATAACATACGTTTTTCATTATAAACTTAACTCAGAACCAATTACCTTAGTGTGTTGATGAAAATCCTTATATTCAACAACTCCATTTTTGTCTTGATCTGCAATTAGTAATAAAATCTGATAACGTACTACCGTGGTTGTTTATATATATTATAGTTAGTGACTTATAGTGCAGCACTGTGCAATATAAGATTAAATGTGAACACTAATTTTTCTAAAACTCGTGTGTTAACTTTAAAGACATACCATTTTAATAAAGCTAGATGAGCAGATCTAGGTTTAGTTAAATATATATAAAATACAATATTAGATTAATATAACTTTACTGATCCTTTATCATTGATATGAGGTTATATCTATGTTTCATGCACTCATATGTATGACTGCTCTTCGAGGAATCATATATGTAAACTTAGTTACACCATCATTAGATCATCGGATAATTGGCTATCGAAACACGCTTACCGAACCAGACATAAAACTCGTGTCGATGTTTTTCCTCCCAGAACTCAGTGCGTTCAAATTCAGTTTCACAACCAACTAGCCTGACCAACATTTCTCCTAAAATGTTTCCAGGATTTTTCATATCCGTGGAAACTGTGAATCCAAGCATCATCTCCCGGAAAAGGTTGATATCAAAGTCTAGTTCTTCATCCTGAAATAACAAAAAGTATTGTCCGTTTGTTTGTTTTCGCTTGTTTATTTGATTTGTTCATTATAAAGTGTTTTCAACGTTTTCAGAAAGAAGAAGAAAAGATAAGAGTTATAAACGAGGTCAATTTTAATATGTAGCCTTAAATAAAATTGTTTTATCGTGTGTTAAATCTGTTGTTATTCTTATTTGAAAAAGTGTAAGTACCTTCGTTATATTTGAGAATGTAGCTGCCACTATGTTAAGGGGGATGCCATACATTCCATTGTAAGTCGCGATAAACTCATCCCTATCTATCCATCCATCTCCTACGTAAAATAACAATATTAAATATATGTTGCACATCGAGTTTGACAAATAGTATAAAATTATATTTTCACAACATCAAGACTTCATACCACTTGTTTGTATAACTATATATAACTATATCTAAGGGGGTATAAATCATGTATGTTGAGAACCTAATTTCACCATTTCGAAAAGTATTATTCTAACTATAATGTAACATTATTTAGATCATCGGGGATACCATTGATTGTCATGTTTTCTAAAAGTTTCTAAAAGGTGGATGATTTATCCATTCAGAAAATACGTTTCCATGGATTTGCTATGGTGATATACACTTACCATTCGTGTCATAAAGCCAAAAATTTACTTGGAGGAATTCAGAGTACCAAAAAGGTAATTCAGCATCAGTGTTGTAATTTGCTGCAAAATCTGACCAAAAGTCACACCATTCGGTTATAGTTATCTGTAAATAATAAAGCACAGGGGGAGTTATACCAAGGTGTTAATATGAATACGCCATGTTTGTTAGGTAATCGCACCTCCCTGGCTGAGCCCTCTAGAATTTTCCCAAATGCTGATTTAGTTCTACTTATAACTTTGTAGGTTCTCCACACATGAGATATGAATGAGTTCTCTGTTTTATTTCGAATGGTACTAACTTTGTCATTTTGACGTAATTATATTATGACGATATACAAGTATTCATGTTAGGTAATTTGAATACCAAAATGCATTCAATAAAAACTGATTTATGTTAACTTATTTTTATTGACCTGGTCGTCTTTGTCCGTATCTCCAGCCCTTTTTAGTTCTGCCCAGAAGTTGTTTTTCATGTCCTCGACTCTCTTCCACAACGGACTTCCATTAGCCCAACCCTTAGAACGTACGACCCCCTATAAAAAGTATGTTTCGGATATAACAACGTGAATATTCCACACCTAAATCTAGTTAATGCTTTGAAAAGTTGAGATGCATAAAACTTGATAAAATGTAGTCACCGTTTTTGACAATGACTGGGACATTCTAGGAACTGTCATTGCTGTACATTTCGACTTTTCATAACAGAGTCAATACAGTGAAGTTGCTATTTCAATGTTTGATATAATAACGTTTCTCAAAATATAGTAAAGTGCAAATGGAATAATAATGATGATGTTATTTGCGGAACGTTATTTTCAAACAAGCATAAGTGTTACATACCTGTAATATATAGTCGAAATCCTTCTTTTGAACAACTCCATCTCGACTACAATCTAGAAATGAACAATGAAGTTATAACCACCATGCACTACATTCAATTCAATTCTGGCTACAGGCCCTTGTCACTCTTCCTTGCAAACATCCTTACAATAAAGTAAATCTGCTTGTGAAATATAGAAAAGGGAGCTAAGACACTTGAAACAAGACTAGCCCAATGTCCAAGTAATGAATGAGTTGGTAAATTAAAAAGTCATGGCAATTATTTCAATAGCATAATTCTATAAATCGAAGTTATTACTGTGGAAAGCATTTCACTTATCTTAAATAATACGAGAAAAATAATATATATAAAAGAAGGAAAGGTAAGTCAATAATAAGTTAACATGCAAACCTCTTGTATCTCACAAAATACGAGAATTAGCGAGATTACAAATATTATAAAGAAATTGCACTATTATAAAAGGATGATACTCACCAAACCACGTGTAAAACTGATGCCTCATTTTAGACATCCAAAAGGGATCATCTTTCATGTTCTTCGCCATCCTGAAAAATGAAGCATTCGTATACATTTTACAGCTGTGTTTAGTTACCCAAATATTAAGTCGCTATTTTCATATTTTTGGTCAACAAATGGTACTAAACGTATTTTTATAATATTGGGTGCTTCACAAAAACCAGCTCTTAATTGTAACATTTACATTATATTAAATTAACTTTGAATTAATCCATTAATTACCTTTCTAAACGGCCGTTGACCATCATTTCTCCTAAAATATTTCCCGGGTGTCCCATATCCTTAGAAACTGTGAACCCCAGCATCATCTCTTGGAACATATCCAGATTAATTTCTGATTCTCCATCCCGGAAAGATATTGTATTTGACACGTTATACCTATCCTGAGTATGAATATGTTTAGATTAAATGCGTTTGATCATCGTATACAAATGCATTTATATTTACCTTTACATGATCGCTTAGAGAATTTATCGACTCTATATTTCAATATTTTATATAATTATATTGTAATTAAAGTATAAGTGAATAAAATGAAACTTTAAAATGGGCTCCCTATGTCTAGGCCATGGACCACGGACTTTGGATATTCATCGGCGGTTTCATTTATTTTCATGAACAATACTTTTCTCGAGCTGTATGTTTGACTTAGAGAGAATGAATACTTACAGAGGTAATCTTCTTGTATGCAGTTTTTACTATCTCAAGAGGAAGTTTGTGTGTTTCACAGTAATATGAAACAAAATCGCTTGCATCTATCAGTTCATCACCTGTATAATTCAAATTATGGTTTGACATAGTATTATATATATATATCGTCGCATGAGAATAACTTTGTACTATCTCACATTTTTACGGAACTGAGAAATCAAGGTTTGAAAGTTTAGAGGTCTGTATCTTACTTAGTATTGCTATGTGAAACTTGATTTTTTGTATGTCACCTGGTCTCACCCTAGAGATATCTTATATGAAATATCATACCTTGAAACAATTTACAAGATCCTTTTTTAAAACTATGGAAATGGAGTTGATACAATTTCCCACCGGAATAACAGCTTATTTCTAATTTCAAATTGCCATATCTGATATCAACTGTTTCAACCAATCAACTCTCTAAGAATTGGTCATGTGACTTGCAAAACCTGGAGTTATAACAATCTTATATTAAAACAAAGTATGCCAATATGCATGTTATTGTATCTAGAATGAAAAATAATGTTTTGCTTTGTAGAAAAATCTTCAAAAACCAAAGAATATTATTTAATAAAATAAAGAAAATTCAATTTATAAAACTTTAAAATCAATTTCTCAAATAAATATTATTTCTTAATTTTGGAATCTCAGGACACCTTTCAAAAAGAATTTATTGCCTTTGAAACTAAGGCAGAAGTACAATGCATTGAAACCAATGATGCCAATACGGTCCCCCACATATTTCCCTCGGTATAAACCCTTTAGCCTAAACCTCCCAGCACATTACAATGTAGCCCCTAAGGGCCGGTCAGCTGGTCCGTTTATCAGGTTATTTTTGATACAGACCAGTTGATTTTTTCACTGGGTATAGGAGAATAACATTGCAACTGGTCCGTAATTCCATTTTGACCAGCAGGTTTCAGATCCTTAGGGCCTAAGACATAACCAATTTTTATTACATGCACATGGAAGAAATTTGAAAATAGAAAAATAATTTCTAATTCATTTTAGATTAATGAAAGTGATGAAACCTCGATTTAGGTAATCACATTTTGTTCATTGGGATGCAGCTATCATTATCCATTCATTTTCTGTTGTTTGCTACTCTGTGGAGTACAATTGGGAATTGAAGCAATTGTAGAAGTGGAGACTAAAAGTGGCTCTTTGTAAAGAAATTGAACCAATTTGTTACTTTTCCAAAATAAAATGTAGATGATCTAAAAACAATGATCCCAAAAATGCAAAAGAAAGGACAAATCTGAAAAACATACTAGTAATAAAATAACTAAAAAGATCCCAGATGTTCAGTGAAAAGCGCAAAGTAAATCATAGATGAAGAGAAAATAAAATAAGTGTTTTAAGGGACTATACTAACATAAAGATAACTCCTTATTGATAAAGTGTATGGTCAGTAAAAGTTAAAGCTAGTTTAAATAGATTTAGCTTTTTTTCCACAAACTATAAAACATCATTTTGAAAGAGATTTCAATAGTATACAGACAGTGATTGCCTTTGAGCAATGTAGTGCAAAATATGACGGTTACTATTTGTTTTGATTACTATATCTAGTATATGACCTATTATGTACTCTATTTGAAGAAACAAATAAGTAGTCTTTCATTTTCAACATTTAACGATGACAGCTTCGTATATGCATTTCTATTGCATTTGGCCATTCAAACCCCTATAAGACCTGGTAGCAGGGAAGATAAAGGGTACTTTTGACTGCTCACATGATCTAATTAACTGATCATTTGTACTTTTCATCTTCCCTGGTAGCAAGGATTTAGGTTTACGAGGAAATTAGTAATTCTATTTCATATCATGTGGCCATGAATAATCCAATGAGCATCCATAATACAAAGAGTAATTGAAGGCATATAATTTGAATATGCATGGGATTACACATACTGTATGATTTTATTTTTTTGATCTACTTGTAATAGTTCTAAAACTAAAACATGAAAGGCCAGGCATGCAAACTGGCATGGTATTGTGTTACAAAACATTATTTCATTCTAGATACAATAACATGCATATTGGCATACTTCGTTTTAATATAAGATTGTTATAACTCCAAGTTTTGCAAGTCACATGACCAATTCTTAGAGAGTTGATTGGTTGAAACAGTTGATATCAGATATGACAATTTGAAATTAGAAATAAGCTGTTTGTCTGGAGATGGTACAATTTCTCACTGAATTCTAGCTTAATGAGAGGGAATTGAGATGGGGCATGTATCTGAGATGAAAGCCTGTGTTTCAAATAGTAAAATTCCATGTCTATCTCAATTTTTGTGAAAATGGCAGTTAGTACAAAGTTATTCTCACGCGACGATATATACTATAGAATTAATGAGAAGTATACAGCAGTGATCGACATTTTGTATTAAAGGTTTGTCCAGACACTTAAAACACAGCATGGGGACAGTCAGGTCAGAGGCAGGCGAGGGTCGCCTTGTAACTCCTTGGTCACATTTGCTCCGATTCATCAGCCGGCTCCCGGCCGATTGAGTATTTTGTTCAAAATTGTATACAGCTTGACCAGAATACTCAACTGCCTGGGTGCCGGCCGATGAATGAGAGCAAATGTGACCCAGACATTAGTAATGTTTAGATTCACTGAGGGATATATAATGTCGACCTCAACAAGGATCTCACAAAATAAATCAATTTTACTATCATCTAACAACACTGTGAAACAATTTATTAATTTTCGTCGAGATATCTCAATTTTCACCAGAGTGTAATTTTCGTGCGGGTTAAAACCAGATTTAAAGGGGAGCACCACCATGGTCACATGATCAGTCGTGTGGAGGTAAGCTCCCAGTTGAAATAAAAGCACTGTCCTCCTTTGGTTTATGTGAAAAGTAGCTAATACCCTCATGTATTGGTCAGTTTGTGTGTCACACGACTAATCCACACCATATGCTTCGTTCAACATATTTTATGCTATTAAAGGCCCGGTCACACCGCCTAAACGTTGCTGGAGCGTTCCTTGAACGTTGAAAAAAATCATCAACGCTCGTAAACGTTCACCACCGTTTAACAAAAGTTGGCATCCGTTAAAGCAACGCTGTAAACGCTCGGCCAACGCGGATGTTTCTCGAGTGGCCATCCTAACGCTCCAAAAGTTTTGAGCTGCTCAAAATATTGCGAGCGTTGAAAAGGTACAATTTTACGCCCTGGCAAAGTTTATTACCGCTCCACCAACGCCCAGTCAAAGTTTGGCACCGCTAGACGCAAGTTCGTGGACGCTTGAATCCGCTAGACCAACGCAGAAATCTTAAACGCTGGACCACCGCTGCTTCGCCAGCGTTGCCCGGGCGGCGATTAAACGTTGCACAAACGTCGGTGGAGCGGTTGTGCACGTTTTATCAACGTACATGGGGTTGTTTGAACGGTGTCGGACGTTGTCGCAGCGTTCCATGGCGGCGATGAACTTTGCTTTGGCGTTGGTATAGAGGTGTCGGAGCGGGACCAGAATTTGGCTATAAATATGTGGAGAAATGCACCACTGTGTAGAACACTGTGGAGACACTTGTGCATTTTACATTTGATATATATTCATGTCTGGCATTTCAATTTTTTGCATTGTAAATTCCTAAATTAAGCGCTCAAAGTTTGTGATTTGGATTTTAAAAAGGTGAATTATGCGATTTTTGTTTTTCATTAAATGTTAATACAAATAGACTTTTACTGAGACCTTTATTCAAATATAGTATATACCTAGTGTTTTCACGTCAAGCAATTCAATAAATTATCTGTGAATTTTCTGCGCAGCTTGTAAAATGTTGCACTCGTCATGGTATTATACAAAAAGTTGATGCGCGCACAGCAATGCAAAAATTTGTCATGCGTCATGATTATTACTTTGCTGTAAATGTTATTTGACATTGTTAAAGCAATTTGAACGTAAATCGGTTCCAAGTAATGGAAATGCAACGATTAAATTGTGATATGTTTGTTTGAAATGATATGAGAGATTATCAAAGAAAATTGTAATGTTATTCATTCTTAATGTCATATTACATTAATAGAAGCACTTTAGATTTAAAACATTTCTTCTTTAATCCTTGAAGGACTTTTGTTAAAGTTACAAATTCCAATAAAGGTCTTTACTCTTAAACACTTCCCAGTTGAAATAATTTCCCAGTAGTCAAACGCGATATGCTGCTAAACCAACGCTGTTGCTATTTATACCCCCGCCGAGGCAACGCTCTCATGCGCAGAACGCCGCTATACCAACGCTCGCATTACCGCTAAACAAACGCTAGCTACCGCTCGCAACGGCTTAACCAACGCTAAAGCAACGCCGGCTTCAGCGGTGCACCGCTAAGCCAACGCCCGTGTTTTTGTTTTTTTCCCCATTTTGTGCGCGTTGACGAGCGTTGATGAATTTTTTCAACGTTCAAGGAACGCTCCAGCAACGTCCGGGCGGTGTGACCGGGCCTTAAGCTGCATATATAAACAGTACTGAAAGTTGCCATGTGTGAATACCGTTCCGGGTAGCAGGGTCCCTATATTTAAAAAAAATATCAAGAAAACTACATAAAATATATCATTTCACCATGAAATTAATACACAAAGTAGTTAGGTTGTTGGTCTTTATTATTGGAATAATAGTAATTTTATCAAAAACCAACAAAATTAGAGCAGGGCGTCCAAGACTTTAAGATCACCCCTCGTATAACGAAATATAATTGTAAAACAATAATACATTTGGGTGGTTGTGTGGTAGGGTGGATATTTTCGTCTTTATTAGCTACTTGTCAGTTTTGGCATTTTATCCTGTTGAACAGCATGATACATTTTTTCCGTATATTCGATTCGATCATGCAAATGGATTAAAAATCATTTGAAAATGTTTCTGTGAGTATAGTTTTTCAAGGGCCACACTTTGCGAGAGTCTACAATGTCATAACGCAAGTTTACTGTCTCTACGAACTCATGCCAAATTCTAAGAAAATTGGGGATGAGGCCAGCGGGGAACATGGGGTAAAACGGCCATAGGGGCAAAACGGCCACCCCTTAATTTTTTTTTAGCGAGATGTTTTTTTGCTACCTTGTTGTCATGTGAGATTAGTTGGTCACGTGATCTATCTTTTGGGCGCCATTTTTGAAGGTGAGCAGACGATTTCCTCATTTTGTAGCATCTTATAGATCTACCCCCTTTTTTACATTTGATGCTAAGGAATTATGACTCATTACTGCCATGAATACCGCAAACATCTTTAAGTCAATACTTTTCATGATTAATAGATATGTTGATCTATTAAACAAAACAAAAAATACACTCGTATTTCCAAATGAACGCTCGTGGTTGCCTATCAAAGTTGTCACGTGGTCTGGGGCAAAACCAGGGTGGCCGTTTTACCCCGTTTTGACTTTTTTCGTATTTTAATATTCGGAATGATTGTTTCAGACCATGGTAAGGCAGTACGAAAGAAGTACCACGAGGGGGAGAAACTCCTCCAGAGTGCCCTAACAGCCATTTGAAGAGGCATGTCGGTAGCAATGTCTTCCAAGTATTATGGAATACCCAGAAGTACACTGAGGAGGTGCGATTTACCCTAAGTTATTCACCAGTCTAAAAATTAAATCAAGCCTAAAATATGTAATGAATTATCCAATTTATACAAGTGAGTACCTATGTATATACACTTTAAAAAACAGTATATCTTATTTTAAACCAATTACTTAATTCTATTCTGGAGGCGTTCAAAAAAGGGTTCCTTACTATGGCCGTTTTGCGCCATGTTCCCCTATTAGGAATAAATTAAATGTTACTTTGGAAATTGTATCTTTTTTAATGAAAATCTTACAATAAATAAGATGATATGATCATTTTCAATAGATTAAAATATGAAGTTCAACATCATAATGTTATAGAATGTAGCTCATACAAAGACATGTCTATAGTCAATGATTAATTTTGGAAACTGAGATGAAAGAACCTGAATGAGAAACGGGATTTAAAATACGCTGTCAGGTTTTTATTATGTATAGCTGTAGAGCCCCCCCCCCCCCCCCCCCCAGTGTCCTGTAGATCGACCAATGTCCTGGCGGATGCCGTGCGGCCATCGGCCGATAGTCTTGCGATACCCGTGCGATATCCTTCTGATTTAGTTGTTTGCGGGCGCCGTACGATGCCTGTACTATGTGACCATACTCACGTCGAAATCAGGACATCGGGAAAAAGTCACCGGCGCCCGGTCGATTTAGAAATCGGCCGATGACTACTCATCGGCCGGCGCCCGCCCGTATATGTGACCTAGGCATCAGGTATCGGCAAATAAAACAACAAAGTAATACCTGGGTCACATATGCTCCGATCCGTCAGCCGGCGCCCGACCGATTGAGTGTTTTGTTCAATATTGTATTCAATTTTGAACAAAATACTCAATCGGCCGCGCGCCGTAGTAAAAATTAGAGCAATTGTGACCAAGGCATAAGTCTCATTTATATTCATTACAAAAAAGTCAGTCTCACCATTCTTATCCATTATGAAAAAAGTCACTGCCATGAATTCTTTGTACCAAAAAGGTGTGTAGTTTTGCTTGTTGTATTGGACGGCAAAATTATCCCAGAAAATGCACCATTCACTCAGATTTATCTAAAAAATATAATAACACAAAGGGTTACATCTAAAAGCACAAAGCAAAGTAACAAATGCGTTTAAGGACATTTAAACATAATACGTGATAAAACTACAGGTATATTTAAATCACATTCAGTCTCAATTCATTGACAATATCCTATGAGAATGACATCTGGAAATCTAGATATTCGAGAGATGTTGGCCATTTTGAATAAAACAACAATATCCGCATAATTTTTATCTTAATTTTATCTGAAACCTCTTAACCATACAAATATATACTAATATGACACCTTACGCCATAACACAATACATTGAGTCTCGGGCTTAAATTGTTTTCAAACATTTTAAAAAAATTCAAAATCATCTTACAGATACGAAATCAATAAATGAACATATTTTCAATGAAATCTTTTGCAAGAGTCAAGCTGGCGAAATATCAATTTCAATCCATAGAGTCTAGTCATTACCACGACAACCGTTTGATGGAATGTTACGTGAAATAGTGTGATATGATTGGATGAAATTGGAAACACCTTGGCTAACTATGTGTGAATTTAGAATTTGAATCGCGAGGTGTGGTCTTTTCAAAAAAAAGTCAAAAAAATAAAACAAGAAACGTCGTGTACAAAATGTCCCCAGCAATGGGTGATCCCGTCAAATGGCTATCCCAAAAATGAGTAGACAAGACTTAAGCAACACAATATGAGGACGGGAAATCCAAAATGGCCACCTTAAATTTTATCAAGAATGCCATGACACTAATCAGTTCTAGATTTTCATACTAAGAATCATTCCTGAAAATTTGAAATTGATCTACCGAACGGTTCGACCGAAAACGCGTGGACAAGACTTTACTGACAAAATTTTAGGACGGAAAATTCAAAAAGGCTGCCTTGACATTTACCCAGAATGCCAAAAAACTTACTTTTAGTTTTAAAAATTAGTCATATCTAGATTTTCATACTAAGAACCACCCCTGAGAATTTGAAATTGATCCGTCAAACAGTTAACCAGAAAACGTGTAAACAATACATGTGCTTTACAGACAAGATTTTAGGATGGAAAATCCAAAAATGGCCGCCTTGACATTTACCCAGAATGTCAAAAAACTTAGTTTTAGTTTTTAAAATTAGTCAGTTCTAGATTTTCATACTAAAAACCACCCATGAGAATTTGAAATTGATCCGTCAAACAGTTAACCAGAAAACGAGTAAACAAGACTTTACAGACAAGATTTTAGAATGGAAAATCCAAAAATTGCCGCCTTGACATTTACCCAGAATGTCAAAAACTAATCAGTTCTAGATTTCCATACTAAGAATCATCCCTGAAAATTTGAAAATGATCTACCAAACGGTTCACCTGAAAACGCGTCGACAAGACTTTACTGACAAGATTTTATTTGGAAATGCATAGACAAGACTTCACAGACAAGATTTTAGGACGGAAAAAGTGATAATGAGTTTTTGCTGATTTCTTTTTACAAAATTATCACAAATAACCACCATTAACAATAACAAAGAATTTTACAACAAAGTACACCTGAAATTATTTATAAAGCTACTAAATAGTTCAAGTATGAAAACTCAAAAACACCATTCAATATGATACAAAGTATAACCGCACGCTAACTTTTCTTAAGACATTAAAAATGGCTGCCATGACTGAGCTTACAGGTCCAAAACCTAATCAGATCTAGAATGAAGTGAGCTGAACAAGATATTAAAGTTTTAAAAGCAACCGTGCAGCCGTTTTTCTTTAATTTTGCAGACAAGGATTTTAGCATTTGACTTCAAAATGGCCGATAGGAAGTAGGTATCGAGTTAAAATTTTTCAACCATATCTTTATGCACTCATAAGTTATCCCTGAAAATTTGAAGGTGAAATCTTTAGCGGTTTTGGAGAAAACAGCCGGACGTACGGACGGACAGACAGACAAACGGACGGACGGACGAACGGACGCACCTAGGCCGACAATATAGCCCCACACTATGTGGTGGTGACATAAAAAGTGGTCGAGGTTCGAATCTTTTGGGCTGTTGATTATGAATTTATACTTATTTTCAATTTCAGAAAACTACGACATTTTGACATTTTCATTGTTGGAAAATATCGTGTTGTGTCGTCCCCAGGGAGCCAATCCTCCTTGTTCTGAAAGCTCTTATAATAGTTATTCAAATAAATATGAGGACCTTTCAAAAGTATAGATGAATTGTATTCATTATTTGCTTTCTTACAAAATACATCTATGCGTATGGAAACAAAAAAAATGACTTGGCTTCAAAATGTACACTTTCTGAAGAGCCATTTAGAAACTGGATGAAAATTAATTGGCCAGACGTTAAAATGACCTGCCTCCCCGCAGTTTATCTATTCGCTATAGGTTATGCAAACTTAAAGGATGTGAACATTTTAACAATTTTCATGAATCTGAACTTAAATTATGGATGCAGCATAATAAGCATAACAATAATATAAATAACATTACATGGAATGGTCACCCTTTGGTTTTTTATAATTGGATAAAGAGAGGACATGAATGATATTGTCAAAATTGGTAGACTTTGTATGAGGAATTGATATGTGAAATTGGAAAAACCGGTCAAACTAAACTTCAATATAATATGCTGAAAGCTTGCATAAAACAGAATTTGTATGAATTAAACAACACTGATCAAACATTTTATTTTAACAATATTAATATTAAAAATGTATCATCACAAAACATCAGAGAGTCACTTGTTCAAAAAAGAATGTGCAAAATTAAATATAATGGCATAGACATATCTGAAGGAATATGGAAATCCATTTTTCATTGTACAAAAGAAGCATCATTGTTAGTTATACAATGGAAGATTTTGCATAACATATACCCTAATGGTACTTATCTCAAAAAATGTAAAATAGAAAATAGTGATTTATGCAAACAATGCATTGCAAGAAATGATAGCTTACATTTTTTTAGTTACTTGTCCTTCTATAAGTATTTTATGGCAAGGTAGCCAGTTAAACGATAAGGAAAAGTTAGGTCTGACTGAAACGATGCCAGATTTATTTTACAAAACGCTCATTATTAAGAAAACTTTTCATGATTTTAAATATAAGAACTGTGAAGGAAATGTATTATCTTTATACGAGGGCGAAAAAGCTCTCAGATTGTAAATATTTTGTAATGTATATGTAAATATGTTATTTGGAATAAAAAAGGTTATGCTAGCCTTGGCCTTAAACCCAGACTTAGACCAAGACAAGCAACAATTTACCTGTTTGATGTGTTTCACAAGAGTGACTTTGATAGAAAGCCAATGAAGATAATACATTTAATAATTGTCTTAGCTTGAAACTTATGAAAGCTTGGGTTTTTACGTACCGACTTATTTTGATCCTCATCTGCGAGAAGCCATAATATGGTCAACATATTCAGTTTCATGTAAGATGCTCTATCATACATTGGGTGGTCGGGTGACAACCCCTTTGCCTCTACCATATTCTGAAATATTTTTTTCGAATTAAGGATTTAAGCCCTGGATTCAGTGCATTGCGTATTGAATCATTTCATTGAAGTAGTTGTTTCCAAAATCTTTGCATGACCTCGCAGCAGGAATGTAAAGTTTAGGAAACAACGCCAGGGTTGAATGAAGCAGCCACAATGCATTAAGTATTTGGCTTAAATTCTTTTCAAACACAATTACATTGCAAAATATTTTTACTAGATCAGCTAAAAGTCACTATAATAATTTAACAAATAATATCAATTTCAATATGTAGAGTCAAGTTAAATACTGCATTTGTCATTTGATTCCCCATGGGTTCAGATGACCTCCTGGAACTCTAATTGCCTGATCCCATATGGAGTCTCATTGGCATCAAGCCATGCTAACGCAATCTAAAATCAGCTCGGGGTATATTTTATCTTATATTTTCAGACTGATTTTTTATCTCTTCTTTGAAATACAGGATATGGTCTTTTTAGTCTTCGGATGAACTTTAGATCCTTTTTGGCCTTTTTGGTATTTTACACACTGATATTTTGACTAGGATTCGTAACCATGTAGCATTACATCACAAAATGATAATTACTCATTTGAAGAGTCCTCCACACGAGCGTCTCATATTGCCTATTGTTAGGGGAAAATATGCTTTTGGAGACAAAGGGGATTAGTACAGACACTAACAACAATTAAAAATATACGTACATCGAAAAACTTGTTGAAGTCCTCTTGTTCAATTGATCCGTTGCCATCCAAATCTGAAAAACATTATAATTACTTTATTTTTACATAAATTCCATATATCAACTGACGAGGCCATCTCCCCTTTAAACCCATGGGCGTAGCAAGGGATATGGCATTGAACTTTGGCTATTGCTTCACCAAAATAAAATAATAAATAGCGTTTCATGCTTGCATGTCAATTAAATTACTGAAATGACGTGATACTAAAGAGTTCAAGCTTGTAATGTTTTTCACAACGTAAGGTCCCTGAACGCAAAGTAATGCGTCGAGTCTCAGAGTTTCGTGTTAAGAACGGAAAATACCACGTTCGGAGTCAACGGGAATCATACTCGCGTTTGTTGATTACTATGCTGGTAATTTTGACTTCGATACACACGACAGTAGAATTATTTCTGAAGAAGATGACGTATAAGTCGCGCACGTTTTGGCTCTAAACATCTTACTAAACGAGCTTATTAGAAATGTGTATTGGAAAACCAACTATAGAACTACCAATGACACATTACATTCTACGGTGTAGTGTAAGTAAATACTGAAGCCGAATGGTTATTCAAGCGAGAAAGCTATATACATTTGCATATCGGCGATTGATACGTATACGTTGTCGTCTCGATATCATATACAAGCTTAAACTCTCTACTTATACTACCATTAAAAATAAGTTCTTATGTATTATTTTTAGGTCTTTCCGTTTATTAAACAATTTGTAATTGTCTGTGTTTAGCGAATGAATTAAGTGAAATTATATGTATTGTTAAAGAAATGTACTCACCAAACCAAATTTCAAACTGATACTTCATTTTCGACATCCAAAAAGGATCATCTTTGAAACCTGTTGCCGCCATTCTGAAAAAAAGATGTGCGTCCCCTACGTTGAGAAAAGGCAAAGTGAATTGGCCCAAAAATGATATACTTTATGCAGTATAAAGGTGTAACGTCAAATGTTTCATTGAGTAATAACAGGGTAGGCCAAAAAATAGTACGCACTTTTATATGAACTTTTTCTGGCTTTCAATCATGTGGTTTCATGATGATGGTGATTCATTTGGATCAATACATTGGAAAAATCGTTAAAATCTTGATAATTAGGAAAACATGGCACGACTTTAAAACAAACATAAGAAGGAGGTGAAAATGTCAAGACAAATGATCAAACCATTTCATAAGAATTCATTGTTTTGAATATTGTTTCGTTTTATACATTTTCGTAACAAAATGAGTTTGGGAAAATAATTAGGCTCTTAACATCAACAGACGATTTTATCTGATTTTGACAAGGTATTCAATTTTAACTTCCGGATTCCTTATTGTACCTGTAAACCTCTATCGATTTCTGCATTCGTTATCATTTAAATGGCATGAGAGGATCTCAAATATAAGATTACTAAGTTTTCGCCCACCCTGTATATGGATTTAAATGTGACCTAGTTTGGCTTTTAACCAGACACAGCTGGGGCCTGGTAGGTTCCAATTCAAACGTGGACAAGTTTATTATTACAGGAAGGGGGTAATTGTGAAGTGTATTCCATATGAAACTTATTATGTAAAGATAAAAACGGGATCAACAATACAACATTTCCTTGGGAAGTGTAGAACAAAATTCCCCTGGGAAATGTAGTATATTTTATTTTACACCAGCACGTACATCGTTCGTTTGGCTTTCGTTCATCAGTTGTTATATACATGTTGTTATATGTGCTATCATTTTGATACAAGCATTTTGAACATAAACGACAGGGGGAATTTCCAAAAAAATGGCCGGATAAAATTCTAAAAACAATTCAATTGTATCATAATGTCGATCAAAAGTAAATAGAAATGTTTTGTTGATACCATTTTTAACTGAGCCTGACTGTAAAAATCAGGCAAAATTGGAGAAATCGTCCACACGGTGATTTTTAGATTTCCATTTTCTTCTTTATTTTAAAGTGGTAGTTTGTGGTGTTATTGTCAACTTTGAGTATATGATAATGTCTGATAATATCGTTTATCCTAGCATCGGCGTTGCTAAGAAATAAGGGTCAACAACCTGTTTTTGCATGTAAAATAGTCCCAAAATTACCTTAAAAATCCTGTTTTTGCAAGAGTTCTCACCATGCACGTATATCACAAGTTAAATGCAAAATAACATATCAACACATTGTAGCATGCCTCAAAATTTTCTTGAGACATTATGTTATCCCGGAAACTTGGTTGCTATGGTAACCAGGGACCTATGAACCTAGAAGTACCAATTTCTTGTAAAAAATGGTATGTTTTTAAGGCCAATGTTCTCAAAATTTGAAAGGAGTTGAATATAATGACAAGTACTACCATGTAGAGAAACACAAATACTACAATAACCGAATATCTTGCATTCATTGATCGACAACTTTAAAATATTCTCCGATCATCTGTATTTTTTGTTAAAAAACAGCGACAAAATGACGGTTTTCTCATTGTTTTACTTTGGTATATTGTAGTAAACAGGAAGACAAACCCTACAAATTTAAGTCAAATTGAGCAAACAAAGAATTAAAAAATATGTAAGGGTTGAGATTTTTCTAATGTAGTTGCTATGGTAACGGCGTCTATGTGTTATTTATGAAATAAGACATATTTTGACCTATGTTTGTTTGATTTTCATGAAATTTGAACCAAATGAAAAGTATTGAAAAGTTTAACTGAGTTGATCACTATATATGCAAATTAACTCATTTGCATATTGATTGTGACGTCATAATAAGATTTTGCCCCATATTTAAGAGATATCTTATATCACATCATACTTTTCATTACAGCATGGTAATTGTCCATTGGCATTGTCCATTTAAGTTTTTAGATATCTACACATACCTACTGTATCTTTATTCACAAGAATTAGTTCAAGTATACTCACTCATTATGATGTAGATACAGCCCCCTCCCCCATTAAGATAGCAGGGCTTAAGTTAGGGGGCCTTTTGGGCATTATTGGGCTTTTTTGGCTGATTGTAAATAATGGGCCCTAGATTTCCAAAGGAGAGCGAGTTGTTTGTAGAATGAATCTGGGGATTTTTTTCATGAATTTCGCTTATGTTTTCATCCAAAAAACATCAATACACTTTAAAACATTTTGTTTACTTTAAGATTACACCATGTAATCCAAAAATATATTTCTCGTTTTCAAAGATAATCCATGGATTAACACCCAGGTATTTTTATTTTTTAAACTTCAGAGGGCTGGGAATCATTGATGCTCAACGCTTTTGAATACGATAAATGCTGTTTTAAATTGGTTTTACGTATGCCAATAATTTCTCAAATTATGTAAGCTGAATGCATTCCATAATCCCTAGAATATTCTCTTGGAGGAATCCAATGGTAGTTCCAAGCAGATTTTTAGATGGCAGGTAAGTAAATTCTTTAGTACTCGCCTTATTGGGTTGAGTTAGTTTATATTCAAAAATTATATATGATTCTGTAAAGATGTCAGTGTGGATGCTATATAGATTGCACACGTATGGTAAGCTGTATAATCCTATATTATGTAACACAAGTACAGTTTTGGTTGACATGATTGTGACTGAGTGAGAGATTAAACTCTTTAAGGTAGTTCTGCATGTTGATAATTTTTATTAATTTTGGTGATGAATAAATTATCTGATAATTATAAATTGGGCAAAATTTTTGACATTTTAAGTGGATATAAAGAATTATGGTAACATACACCATGGACCATGCATACACATACAATTACAAATGTGAAATATTGTCCCTTTCATTGATTATCGGTATTTATAATCATGAAAATTAGTGAAAAATATTGAGACATATCTACCTTAAAATCAGATTGGCTTACAAGTACCCTAAGCTATTTTCACATTTTTATTGCAAGAAAATCTTTTTGCAAGGGTTACAAAGGTTGAAATATTGTCCTGGCTCTATTTGGCTGGAGTTTAATATTCAGACCTAGCTATGTGTGAATTGATTATCAATCACATTGTACATTATAATGAACATAATAAATAAAACCATGAATGTTGTTCATAAATCAAACTGGAATCACAATCTTCATCAACATCAATTATGGATTTAAAGGCAGTACTTATCTATAAGACATAAATTATTGTAATTGTATGATATCGTATTTGTGATTTGAATATACACTGTGGTATTTGAGAAAAAGAATGTTTTGTTTTAGTTTCATTGCAATTTATAACCCTGATATCTTAAAGCCAGAATCCTTCCTTGTCTTCCAATTTTCTAATAGCCTCAGAAGTTCCTACTTTTTTAAAAAATACAATTTTCCATGATTATTTTTATGTCACCACCACAAGTGGTGACATATTCTTATAGTCTCAAACTTGTTTGTGTGTTCAGTGGTTGGTGTTAATCATTTGGCAGTTGGTGTTTGGCAGTTGGTGTCTGTAACAAATGGCAGGTGTTGACATTTTGCATGTGAATGCCTTGTCTTATAATGTAGCCAACTGCAATGGATGTAAAACGGATACAGTTAACTAATACATTTCTTAGCATCAATTCAAATCATATGCTAATTTTAAATGAAAATGTTTTTTTTCATGTTTTACCACTCATAAATGCCATAATATCTCGATGTCACATTCAGGAAAATATGGCTACCAACAAGTTTTGAATTCTTACAATCCTGGAAGTTGTACATGTAAGCATACACATCTGTCAGTTCAGTTTATGTGTCAGTCAATCCCCTAAGCCTTAATACATGATGCATGAAATATTATGGATGAGTTACATAATATGTACTTGTGCTATTTAGGTTAATGTTGTGCTGTTTCACCAGATTTGACTGACATCTTTAAATAACAACAATTTGATTTGATGATCAGACAGCAACAAAACATATTAAGTGGCCAAGACAAAATAATGTTATATGATAGGCATTCTAAGGATTAAGGAATGCATTCAGCTTACATAATTTGAGAAATTATTGGCATAAGTAAAACCAATTTAAAACAGCATTTATCGTATTCAAAAGCGTTGAGCATCATTGATTCCCAGCCCTTTGAAGTTTGAAAAATAAAAATACCTGGGTGTTAATCCATGGATTATCTTTGAAAATGAGAAATATATTTTTGGATTACATGGTGTTATCTTAAAGTAAACAAAATGTTTTAAAGTGTATTGATGTTTTTTGGATGAAAAACATAAGCGAAATTCATGAAAAAAATCCCCCAATTCATTCTACAAACAACTCGCTCTCCTTTAGGCTCAATTATTTGTTTTAGTCCTAGAACATTTTTTAAGACTAAATCCCTCCCCCTTGTTAGTTTCCAGATCTGCCTCTGGGTCTGTATAAGGCTTTTGTTATTGTGAGGACTTTTGAAACAAGTGAATTTTCCTAAAAAACAAAATTAATAGCACCTGTATTGGCAAATATCCTGCATATGAACTTCATGTACCATTTTAGTGAGACTAATAAAAGGTTATCAAGCAAACATCTCGAAAGAATTTACAATGCTTACTAGTATTTCATACTGTGACATAATTTATAATAAAGCACTATGCAGAAGCTTTTGAAAGGCTACCCTATAGAGCAGCATGCCTAGTTTCAGGTGCTACCCATGGGTCAAATACTGATAAGGTACCTTCTTCTCTAAATTGGAAAAAGTTGGCACCAAGAAGAGATGAGAACTTAAAAATATTTTTTATTTCTAAAGTGTGCTTTTCTTTACCTCCCTTTATCTGTGATGTTGTGAGAACTTACGAAACTGTTCATGCTAGAAGACTGGGTGATGGGCAAGATTATCAGATTCTATTACATAAGACTCACTAAAAATCTACACTTTTAGTCAATCTAAGCTTGGAATGGGCTTCCACCAACTATCAGAGTTGGGCAGCCTATCTCAAGATTCAAAAGATCAATCAGGAAGAAAATGAGCCTTGTATCCTTATCCACATCCAAAATGGAATACACTATCACACTATTCGGACTATACGAAAGCAAGCGGTGTGGATATAATGTGAGCAAGGTAAAAAGTATTCATTCAATATTGGTGATTGAGATGACCTATTAAAACAAATATATTTATATTTTGAAATTGAAAGAACGCAAATAAAAATAATTATATCGATTGGTCATATCGATCAACAATGCTGAATGAAGGCTGTAAAATGTGTAATAAAGCAACAATTTAAATAATTTGCTTAGAATAACTTATAGAAAAATTATTTTAGGTTATAATGGCAATGATGATTTCACTAAATTTCTTAACTATTTTGTCAGTGTAATTACATAATTATTACAATTTATAAGGTTTACCTAGGACAGATAAATGACAATGATGTCAGAAATGTAAATGTTCATTTTCTAACCAAATGTCCGCTGCTCACAATCGAAATGGAATTGCTTCTTGCAGGACTTGATAACTTGAATGTCTGCCCAATTTCAGAAATTTAACAATCTCTAAGAAATGAGACACACTTTTGTATGGAGATACCATCCTTAGTGACGTAATGAATGGTAAAATTATTGACATTGTGGCTCATTATGTCTCACTCTCAGTATTGAACAACCAGGAAACATTCTAAAATACTTTGGGAACCTTTTGGGTTGGAGTGGGAGTAGACATACATGTAGACACAGACTGAACATACTATAATACGATGTTTGGTATTATTGAGATTCCTGTATTATATTTTATGTTATACTTTGCCGCTCATGTTATTAAGTTAACAAAGACATATATTTATATTTGTATCAATATCCAGGACCTTTAACTAAATCGAAATTGAAAAAACTCCATGTAATAGTATTTGACTTGAAAATAAGGCCATTGTTGTATAATATAAGGTTCATTGTAGTTATTTTTCTCACATTGGTCATGATCTAGATTAGTAATTCATATCTTTCATTCTTTTTATAATTACATAGCGTCCATTAATTATATTTTCCAATCAGCATCTTGCCGAGAATATTTCCAGGAGAGTTTATATCGGTCGAGGTTGAAAACTGAATGCAACATGTATTCCAGAAGTCGCGATCCATAGCAATACGTCCACCCTGAAAATCAAATTATGGATGACATGAAGTGCTTGTTTTGGGGTACTGTCATATTTAAATTAACTGTCAATCGTTAGGAAGGAATAGGTAATGCTACCTAAGAAAGTAACTATGTTACCGTCACTGTGAACATTTAATAAAAAAAATGACCTGAATTTGGCGCCAATGATGTCAACAAAGGCAATTAATTAGTTTATACAATTAACTTACACTTGGAATAAATAAATATTTGATGATCTTAAACATGAAATAAAAAAAACAACCTGGAATTCAAACACGCTTGTCTCATTAATGGGCTCATTCAAACTATTCAAAAGCAGATTACAAACATTTTGGAAAATCTACGTACATATGTCATATCATCGAAGCATTTTTCAATTACGTCATCTGGAATTTTGAATGGCCGATAAGCTGACACGAATTCGTCTTTCGTTATCCACCCATCGCCTGAAACAAAAGGAGAATTACAATGTAACATATTCCACAACTGAATAACTTTCATAAATCAATCAATTACTTAATTTTATAAAAATAATGCCAGTCAAATTGAAATACTATATTGTAATTAAACAATTGAAAATAATACACCACCCTCTTTAATATTAAATATTTAGAACGAAATCGGACGGATAAGGCAGTAGAATATCAGACTTACCATTCCCAAGACTGTCAAACACATCAAAGTATAGGTCGAGGTAACTACCATACCAATAAGGTATTTTCATGGTCTTTGCTTTAATTTCCCTGCACATATTCTCCATAGAATCGAGCCACTCGTCAACTGTCACCTTAAAAGTGAATGAGATTTGTCAATTTTAACAGAAATAAGAATCGATGGAATCAATATTCAAACGAGTGATCATATTGTTGCGGTCTCTCTGGTACAGGTTTACTTACATTTATTATATGGTTTGCAAGTAAGTTTCACTCCCAATTGTTTTTAATAATTTCACAAGACCGTGCGGATTAACATGCATACACATCTTAGGCAAACATAAGTGTGAGCATATCTCGCCTGCACTATTTAAACAAGAGTTATCTTCATTTATTTAACGTGTATTAATGAACCACAACATTTTCTAAATATACGATAATATATAATATAACTCAGTTATGCTTAATAGAAAATGTGAAATAACCTTTTTGTCATTATCTTTATCTGCACGGCGTTTGAGCTCCCTCCACAGGCCGTTCATGATGTCAAAGCATCGTACCCACATAGGACTGCCCTTTGACCACTGAGTCAATGCTATAATATTCTAGAAGATAACATAAAATCATAAAATTACTATTTGGCTATACTATTTATTGAAAGTATATTTTATGAAAGTATTAGCATACAATGATTATAAAAACAGTTTCAAGATCCACACACACACATGTCTAAGCAAAATAACATACGTTTTTAATTATAAACTTAACTCAGAACCAATTACCTTAGCGTGTTGATGAAAATCCTTATATTCAACAACTCCATTTTTGTCTTGATCTGCAATTAGTAATAAAATCTGATAACGTACTACCGTGGTTGTTTATATATATTATAGTTAGTGACTTATAATGCAGCACTGTGCAATATAAGATTAAATGTGAACACTAATTTTTCTAAAACTCGTGTGTTAACTTTAAAGACATACCATTTTAATAAAGCTAGATGAGCAGATCTAGGTTTAGTTAAATATATATAAAATACAATATTAGATTAATATAACTTTACTGATCCTTTATCATTGATATGAGGTTATATCTATGTTTCATGCACTCATATGTATGACTGCTCTTCGAGGAATCATATATGTAAACTTAGTTACACCAGCATTAGATCATCGGATAATTGGCTATCGAAACACGCTTACCGAACCAGACATAAAACTCGTGTCGATGTTTTTCCTCCCAGAACTCAGTGCGTTCAAATTCAGTTTCACAACCGACTAGCCTGACCAACATTTCTCCTAAAATGTTTCCAGGATTTTTCATATCCGTGGAAACTGTGAATCCAAGCATCATCTCCCGGAAAAGGTTGATATCAAAGTCTAGTTCTTCATCCTGAAATAACAAAAAGTATTGTCCGTTTGTTTGTTTTCGCTTGTTTATTTGATTTGTTCATTATAAAGTGTTGTCAACGATTTCAGAAAGAAGAAGAAAAGATAAGAGTTACAAACGAGGTCAATTTTAATATGTAGCCTTAAATAAAATTGTTTTATCGTGTGTTAAATCTGTTGTTATTCTTATTTGAAAAAGTGTAAGTACCTTCGTTATATTCGAGAAAGTAGCTGCCACTATGTTAAGGGGGATGCCATACATTCCATTGTAAGCCGCGATAAACTCATCCCTATCTATCCATCCATCTCCTACGTAAAATAACAATATTAAATATATGTTGCACATCGAGTTTGACAAATAGTACAAAATTATATTTTCACAACATCAAGACTCCGTACCAATTGTTTGTATAACTATATATAACTATATCTAAGGGGGTATAAATCATGTATGTTGAGAACCTAATTTCACCATTTCGAAAAGTATTATTTTAACTATAATGTAACATTATTTAGATCATTGGGGATACCATTCATTGTCATGTTTTCTAAAAGTTTTTAAAAGGTGGATGATTTATCAATTCAGAAAATACGTTTCCATGGATTTGCTATGGTGAGCTACACTTACCATTCGTGTCATAAAGCCAAAAATTTACTTGGAGGAATTCAGAGTACCAAAAAGGTAATTCAGCATCAGTGTTGTAATTTGCTGCAAAATCTGACCAAAAGTCACACCATTCGGTTATAGTTATCTGTAAATAATAAAGCACAGGGGGGTTATACCAAGGTGTTAGTGAATACGCCATGTTTGTTAGGTAATCGCACCTCCCTGGCTGAGCCCTCTAGAATTTTCCCAAATGCTAATTTAGTTCTACTTATGACTTTGGAGGTTCTCCACACATGAGACATGAATGAGTTATTTGTTTTATTTCGAATGGTACTTATTTGGTCATTTTAACATAATCTATATCATGCCGATATACAAGTGTTCATGTTAGATAATTTGAATACCAAAATGCATTCAATAAAAACTGAATTATGTTAACTTATTTTTATTGACCTGGTCGTCTTTGTCCGTATCCCCAGCCCTTTTTAGTTCTGCCCAGAAGTTGTTTGTCATGTCTTCGACTCTCTTCCACAATGGACTTCCATTAGCCCATCCCTTAGAACGTACGACCCCCTATAAAAAGTATGTTTCGGATATAACAATGTGAATACTCCACACCTAAATCTAGTTAATGTTTTGAAAAGTTGAGATGCATAAAACTTGATGAAATGAAATCAACGTTTTTGACAATGACTGGGGCATTCTAGGAATTGTCATTGCTGTACATTTAGACTTTTCTTAAGTCATAACAGAGTCAAATACAGTGAAGATGCTATTTCAATGTTTGATATAATAACGTTTCTCAAAATAGAGGAAAGTGCAAGTGGAATAATAATGATGATGTTATTTGTGGAACGTTATTTTTAAATAAGAACACGTGTTACATACTTGTAATATATAGTCGAAATCCTTCTTTTGAATAACTCCATCTCGACTACAATCTAGAAATGGACAATGAAGTTATAACCACCAGGCACTACATTCAATGTAATTCTGGCTACAGGCCCTTGTCACTCTTCCTTGCATTGCACACATCCTTACAATAAAGTAAATCTGCTTGTGAAATAGAGAAAGGGGAGCTAAGAGACTTGAAACAAGACTAGCCCAATGCCCAAGTAATGAATGATTTGGTAAATTAAAAAGGCATGGCAATTATTTTAATAGCATAATTCTATAAATCGAAGTTATTACTGTGGAAAGCATTTCACTTATTTTAAATAATACTAAAAAAATAATATTTGTAAAAGAAGGAAATGTAAGTCAATAATGGTAAGTTAATATGCAAACCTCCTATAAAAAATTGCTCTATTATAAAAGGATGATACTCACCAAACCATGTGTAAAACTGATGCCTCATTTTAGACATCCAAAAGGGATCATCTTTCATGTTCTTCGCCATTCTGAAAAATGAAGCATTCGTGTATATTTTACAGCTGTGTGCAGTTACCCAAATATCAAATCGGTATTTTTACATTTTTGGTCAACAAATGGTACCAAACTTATATTTATGATATTGGGTGCTTCACAAAAACCAGTTCTTAATTGTAACAACTTTGAATTAATCTATTAATTACCTTTCTAAACGGCCGTTGACCATCATTTCTCCTAATATATTGCCAGTGTGTTCCTTATCCTTTGAAACTGTGAACCCAATCATCATATCTTTGAACTTATCCAGATTTAATTTTCCATTCTGGAAAGAAGATATTTCATTCCATAATACTACTGTTTTCCAGGGAAATATGAAGGAATAAAAATCGTATTGAATCGTATTACATGAAAAAATCGTATTGTCCCCGAGAAAAATCGTATTGGAGCGTATTACATGAGAAAATCGTATTGTCCCCGGGAAAAATCGTATTGGAGCGTATCAACCTGTTTTGGGTTTCCAGATTATTTTTAACCTTGAATAATTGATAAAGTGAATATGGGTTTTATTCCTCGGAAAATATTATATTGACCTTGGGCAATATGATATCGACCGAGGGAGCGCAAACAATGTGCATCTATTAATATAATTTTTGCATTATCCAAATGTAACATTTTTGAGGGATGTACTATGGAATAAATAGGTTATTTCTGGTCGGGATTGAATATGGGTTTTATTCCTCGGAAATGTGATATTGACCTTTGGCAATATGATATTGACACTCGGTCGCTGCGCTCCCTCTATAAATATCATATCACCCTTCGGTCAATATCATATTGTCCCTCTGAATAAAACCCATATTCAATGGATTAATCCCTCCCAGTAAATAACCTATATGTATTTGACACTCAATACATATATAAAATGAGGTTGGGGTCTAATACAAACCTGAGTATGTATATGTTTAGATTAAATGCGTTTGACAATTGTATACAAATGCATTCATATTTACCTTTACATAATCACTTGGAGAATTTATCGTCTCTATATTTCAATATTTCATATAACTATATTGTAATTAAAATATACGCGTGAAAAAATGAAACTTTAAAATGGGCTCCCCATGTCTAGGCCATGGCACTTTGGCGTACTTTGTATCATACTTATAATAAGAACAAGTAATATACATATAGACTTGAAAATAAAAAAATATGAATCGACGGTTTCATTCATTTTCATGAACATACTTTTCTCGAGCTGTATGTTTGACTGAGAGAGAACGAATACTTACAGAGGTAATCTTCTTGTATGCAGTGTTTACTATCTCAAGAGGAAGTTTGTGTGTTTCACAGTAATATGAAACAAAATCGCTAGCATCTATCAGTTCATCACCTGTATAATTCAAATTATGGTTTGATATAGTATTATATTAGGTGTGAAGAATGAAAAACTGATTACGAACCATTTAAACGATTCGATTGATTTGCAAACAAATGCCACAATGGCGACAAATGCTTTAACAAATCCTTCTAATGGATCAGCGGATACGAGCAAAAAAGAATTAGTATTATATGTACATATACTATAAAATCAATGAGAAGTATACAGCAGTCGGTGGACATTTTGTGTCAAATGTTTGTCCAGACACTTAAAACACGTTTGAGTCAGCATGGGGACAATCAGGCAGGCGAGGGTCGCCTTGTAACTCCTTGGTCACATTTGCTCCGATTCATCAGCCGGCGCCCGGCCGATTGAACATTTTGTTCAAGATTGTATACAGATTGGCCAGAGTACTTAATCGACCGGGTGCCGGCCGATGAATCGGAGCAAATGTGACCCAGGCATTAGTAATGTTTAGATTCACTGAGGGATATATAATGTCGACCTCAACAAAGATCCCACAAAATAAATCAATTTTACTATCATGTAACACTGTGAAACAATCTACTAATTTTCGTCGAGATATCTCAATTTTCACCAGAGTGTAATGTTCGTTCGCTTAGGTTTAAACTATATACTCGAATAAAACAACAAAGTACTGTAAGTCTCATTCGTATCCATTACGAAAAAGTCAGTCTCACCATTCTTATCCATTATGAAAAAAGTCACTGCCATGAATTCTTTGTACCAATGAGGTATGTAGTTTCGTTTGTTGTATTGGACGGCAAAATCATCAAAGAAAATACACCATTCACTCAGACTTAGCTAAAAATATAATAATACAAAGGGTTAAATCTAAAAGTACAAAGCAAAGTAACAAATGCGTTTAAGGACATGTAAACATAATCCGTGATAAAACTACAGGTATTTTTAAATTACATTCAGTCATTCAAATTTATTGACAATATCCTATGAGAATGTCATCTGGAAATCTAGATATTCGATATTTTAGAATAAATGTTGGCCATTTTGAATAAAACAACAATATCCCCATCATTTGTATCTTAATTTTATATGAAAACATACAAATAGATACGAATATGACACCTTTGATCAGACAAACCGATTACACAATATTTCTTGAATTCTGAAACAAGAGTGATTGGCGCCAAGGGTTCCAATTCGATATTTTGCCATGTATGGAGATTTCGTAACAACAAACTTCGAATTCATGTAGCTGCCATTTTGTTCACTTAGGGATTCAGCCCTTAACTCAGTTCAATTTGGAATGACCATTCCTTGACGGTGTTAATTTTCTAGAATCTGCACGAGATGAGGAGTGTTAATTTAAGGAAACAACGCCTGAAAGGATTGGCCATAACACAATACATTAAAGAGATCGAGTTGTCCAGATTTCTATTCTGGACAATCAGTAATGTCCCAATATATTTGCTTATAAAACATCATATATACCTTAGATATATCTTGAGACCAAATCATAAGCACGATAATAATAAGCATCGACAATATGTTGAGGATATCAATAGGACAACCAAAAGAACAACCAACTGTCAGAATTGAACGCAATAAGTCGAAAACAGAATATAGTGTTTTTTTTGGGGGGGGGGGATTTATCTGTATTGTAACCCCTTAGATGTAATAAATATGGCTTCTCTAAGCCAAAATAATCTGAAGGAAAAAGGCAATCAGACTGAAACAAATTTGAGCGGGCTTTTTAAATTTGAATTTGAATTTCTATTGATGTAAGTTGACATTCATGGCTAGGAACAATCATCGAATTGATACTGTTAACGAATTAATTCAAGCCTCAGAATTGATAAGTTGATAAACAAACTTTCTTTTCATTTTCTTCAAAATTATCTAAAAGATACGAAATCAATAAATGAACATATTTTCAACGAAATCTTTTGCAAGGGACTAGCTGGCAAAATATCAATTTCAATCCGTAGAGTCTAGTCATTACCATGACAACCGTTAAACTAGTGACCTTGAGTTCGTAATTGGTTATATAATGGAATGTTACGTGAAATAGCGTGATATGATTTGCTGAAATTGGACACCCTTGGCTAACTATGTGTGAATTTAGAATTTGAATCGCGAGTTGTGGTATTTTCCAAATAAAAATTCCAAAAATAAAAAAGTGGTCAAGGTTCGAATCTTTTGGACTGTTGATTATGAATTTATAGTTATTTTCAATTTCAGAAAATAACGACATTTTAACATTTTCATTGTTGGAAAATATCGAGTTGTGTCGTCCCTGGGAGCCAATCCTCCTTGTTCTGAAGGGTCTCATAATAGTTATTCAAATAAATATGAGGACCTTAAAAAGTATAGATGAATTGTATTCATTATTTGCTTTTTTACAAAATACATCTATGCGTATGGAAACAAAAATTTAGACTTGGCTGCAAATTGTTAACTTTCTAATGAGCCAATTTTGAAACTGGATGAAAATCAGCCAGACGTTAAAATGACCTGCCTCCCCGCAGTTTATCTATTCAGATTTTATAAACTTTTGATGAACTGTTTTTTTCAACTGGACACAGTGCCTAGCATATCACGCCTTAGGTGTATGCCAACCCTGGCCTTAAACCCAGACTTAGACCGAGACAAGCAACAATTAATCTGTCCGTGTCTAATGTGTTTCACAAGAGTGACTTTGATAGAAAGCCAATGATCATATCTAATAATTATCTTAGCTTGAAAAAGCTTGGTTTACGTACCGACTTATCTTCATCCCCATCCGCGTTATGCTGTAATATGGTCCACATATTCTGTTTCATGTTCTTTGCTCTATCATACATTGGACTGTCGGGTGACAACCCCTTTGCCTCTACCATATTCTGAAATAAATTTTTTTTTTGAATTAAGGATTTGAGCTCCGGATTCAGTGCATTGCGTATTGAATCATTCCATTGAGGTAGTTCTTTCCAAATCTTAGCATGGCCTCGCAGCAGGAATGCAAAGTTTAGGAAACAACGCCTGGGTGGAATGAAGCAGCCACAATGCATTTTAAGTCTTTGGCTTAAATTCTTTTCACACACAGTTACATTGCAAAATATTTTATACTAAATCAGCTAAAAATCACTATAATAAGTTAACAAATATTAATTTCAATCTGTAGAGTCAAGTTCTAAAACACTTTGTTCGGAATATAAGGCTGGAATCGGACACACCTTGCCTATCTATGTGTGAATGAATATATTAATGCATTCTTATTCATGTAGCTACATATGGCTCTTTCATACTCTGAACTGTAGAATGACGATCCTTGTCCTTATGACGTTATCAAACTCTAATTTAGGCAAAGTGGATCATTTGAAAAGCAAATACCAATAAAACTGAACTAATTGTGAGCATGCATGTGGGATCTCTGACTCTCAGTTATAGTGTTGTATGGTGTCAACGATTTTGCAATTAAGCATATAGCACATTGAGATACACTACTGGGACAAACCCCTGTGTCCATCGGGGCCCCATGGAGAGGGGCACTGCTTCATCTGTCATTTGATTCCCCATGGGGTCCGATGACCTCCTGGAACTCTAATTGCATGGTCACATATGGAGTCTCATTGGCATCAAGCCATGCTAACGCAATTTAAAATCAGCTTGGGGTATAGCTATTATATCTTATATTTTCACACTGATTTTTTATCTCTTCTTTGAAATACAGGATATGGTATTTTTAGTCTTCAGATAAACTTTAGACCCTTTTTGGCCTTGTTTGGTATTTTACACACTGATATTTTGACTAGGATATGTAACCATGTAGCATTACATCACAAAATGATAATTACTCATTTGAAGAGTCCTCCACACGAGCGTCTCATATTGCCTATTGTTAGGAAAAAGTATTCTTTTGCAGACAAAGGGGATTAGTACAGACAATAACAGCAATAAAAAATATACGTACATCGAAAAGCTTGTTGAAGTCCTCATTTTCAATTGATCCGTTGCCATCCAAATCTGAAAAACATTATAATTACTTTATTTTTACATAAACTCCATATATCAACTGATAAGGTCATCTCCCCTTTAAACCCATGGGCGTAGCTTGGGATATGCCATTGAATCTTTGTTATTGCTTCACCAAAATAAAAGATAAATAGCCTTTATAATTCATGCTTGTCAATTAAACAACTGAAATGACGTCCAAATTTGATACTAAAGAGTTCAAGCTTGTAATGTTTTTCACAACGTAACCGTGAACGCAAAGTAATGTGCGAGTCTCAGAATTTCGTGTTTAGAACGGGAAATTTGAAATTCCACGTTGGTGTCAACAGGAATCATTATAATCTAATATATTATATTATTACAATCGCGTTGATTACTATGCTGGTAATTTTGATTTCGATACACATGACAGTAGAATTATTTCTGAAGAAGATGACGTATAAGTCATGCACGTTTTGGTTCCAAACATCTTACTAAACGAGCTCATTAGAAATGTGTATTGGAAAACAAGCTATAGAACTACCAATGACATATTACATTCTACGGTGTAGTGTAAGTAAATACTGAAGCCGAATGGTTGTTCAAGCGAGAAAGCTATATACATTTGCATATGGGCGATTGATACGTATACGTTGTCGTCTCGATATCATATACAAGCTTAAACTCTCTACTAATACTACCCATGGGCTTTCAATTAGATTCAATCTAGTTGAAAGCCCATGTACTACTATAGTAACATCTTAAGTGAAAATAAGTTCTCGTGTATTTTTTAGGTATTTCTGTTTATCAAACCATTTGTAATTGTCTGCGGTCAGCGAATGAGCTAAGTGAAATTATATATATTGTTAAAGAAATGTACTCACCAAACCAAATTTCAAACTGATACTTCATTTTCGACATCCAAAAAGGATCATCTTTGAAACCTGTTGTCGCCATGCTGAACAAGATGTGTGTCCCCTACGTTGAGAAAAGGCAAAGTGAATTGGCCTAAAAAAATGATATGCTTTATATAGTATTAAGGTGTAACGTCAAATGCTTCATTAAGTAATAACAGAGTGGGCCAAAAAATGGTACGCACGTATATATGAACTTTTGAACTTTTTCTGGCTTTAAATCATGTGTCTTCATGATGATGGTGATTCATTTGGATCAATACATTGAAAAAATCTTGATAATTAGAAAAGCATGGCACGACTTTAAAACAAACATTACAAGAAGTTGATAATGTCAAGACGAATGATCAAAACATTTCATAAGAATTCATCGTTTTGAATTTTTGTACATTGATAGAAATATCATTTCGTTTCATACATTTTTGTAAGGGATGCGTAATAAAATGAGTTTGTGAAAATAATTAGGCTCCTAACATCAACAGACGATTTTATCCGATTTCACAGGGTATTCAATTTGAACTTCCGGTTTCCTTATTGTTCTTGTAAACCCTCTGTCAATTCTGGTCGAAACTGGCCAGTTTTTATGACTTAGAGGTACATGTGTAACGACCCTTAATAGCAAGTTGCTACTAATGGCTTGTTACACTATGCTCGTCATTCCCCTGGGGCGCCCTCGGGTCATTACACGTGTATGTTAGTCAATCACTATGCAATAGTGATGCAATAATTACGTCGTTTTTGTGAACTAGATACATATGTACTTATATATCATGTGATTCATAACATAGCATTCAAATGGCATGAAGGAAGCTTAAATAAAAGATGCACTAAATTTTCGTCCACCCTGTATTTGGATTTTAAATGTGACCTAGTTTGGCTTATAGCCAGACACAGTTGGGACATGGTAGGTTCCAATTCAAACTGGGACGAGTTTATCATCATTACAAGAAGGAGGGGGTAATGACGTGTATTTTATATTAAACTTATTTTACATAATCATAAAAACATGGTCAACAAAACAACATTTTCTTGGGAAGTGTAGGACAAAATTCCCTTGGGCATGTTGGGAAGTGTAATTGTATTTTATTTTATACGGTACGCACATCGTTTGTTTGCCTTTCGTTCAGTTGTTATATTATAGTTATAGGCACTGTCATTTTGATACAAGCATTTTGAGCATAAATGACAGGGGGACTTTCCAAAAAAGCCAGTTTATACGTTAATATTTACAAGTTAAACAAAAATGGCCAGATAAACTTTCAAAACAATTCAATTGTGTCATTTACAAGTATTGGAAATGTTGATACTATTTCAAAACAATTCAATTGTGTCATTCACAAGTATTGGAAATGTTGATAAAATTTCAAAACAATTCAATTGTGTCATTCACAAGTATTGGAAATGTTGATAAAATTTCAAAACAATTCAATTGTGTCATTCACAAGTATTGGAAATGTTGATAAAATTTCAAAACAATTCAATTGTGTCATTCACAAGTATTGGAAATGTTGATAAAATTTCAAAACAATTCAATTGTGTCATTCACAAGTATTGGAAATGTTGATAAAATTTCAAAACAATTCAATTGTGTCATTCACAAGTATTGGAAATGTTGATACTATTTCAAAACATCAGAACAGTGCCTTTTAATGGCTTTTATCACGGGCTTGTACAAAAACTTGGAAATCCATGCTTTATAAAACTTAAATGTTGTTTGTGTTATATTATATAGTTTAGGATGTTGACATGCATTGATCGAGATTTATACAAATCCAAACTAATCCATGAAGACATACTGACATACCGTAACAAATCCAAAATAGCCCGTAAGGCTACTTAACGAACAAACAAGGGCGCTGAACAATGCGATATATTGTATGTTTACCTGGAAAGTATTAACTGTTTTTGGCGTTATTCTAAATATTTTGGCTAAGATTAGGGAGTAAAATGCATGATGGGGCTCTCTAAGCGTAGATACGACATGTTTCTTTTTCTTTTTTATTTACATTTTCCCTAGATATACATACTAGATATAGTATAATATACATGTCAAGCGTTTCCTCAAGATAAATTTTCCCTTATACATTGGTCTACTATTGGCCTTCCAGTATCGACACCACTATATATTTTTTATTATTACTCTTTATTTCAGAGAAATAATATGTTTATGCAATAACAATGCAGTTACATAGAACTTTTGGATTTTACAATAATGTTTTGATTGCACTAGCTTCAGTATTGACGTTGTCATTACTTAGGAGTAAGTCGATTTACTGGACTAGGCCTAAGACGCATTTGAGAAAACCCAAAAATTCAACCCCGCTGATTCTAATTTAACCCTTGGATCACTGCACTATAAAATAAGTTAGTCATATATGAATTGGTTAAAAATACTATTTATAAGTAAATGTTTAATTTTTCAAGGCGAGTGGTCAATATGCAATTGATCCAAGTACAGAAGTATAGTTTCAGCTAAATATGTCGGCCATTTTCAATTTTACCATTCAACTCCAATTATTTCATCATTCCCGTGATCCATCACGATTTATGTCGTGGAAATTCAAAATTTGAATTTGCGATTATAATTTAACCTTTGGGAGCCCCATCGTTTAAACAACCCTTGGCTCGTTATGTAATGGGTAGCCTTGTTATGAGCATGTAGTGCACCCTAGGCCCTTTATATATTATACTGTATTGCATAACTAAGGTCGAACAATAATATAACAACGTTTATATTTGAGTTTTAAGTTACCCTTACCAAGTCTGTATCATCTATTGCATGTTTAAATAAACAAATAAACAAACAAACAAACAAATACATAAATAAGAAGTAAATACCAACCTGCTCGTAGTAGAGTGTATGCTGCTCTCTCGAATTTCAAATTTCGGTTTGAGTATGTCGGTCAAAAGTACTTCTATTTGATACTTACTGAATTGATTATAATCCTGCTACGTGTATGGTAATTGCTGACCATGTTGGTACCCGTATCATACATTTATGATTTTATGTACGACTGACAGGTGATTTGAATAAAGGACTATCTGGTCATTTTCGATGGCCTACAGAGAATGTTTCTGGTGGTTTATACTTTTATATTGCAGTTGTATGTGTTTTCATCGTTAATACTCTTAAAGGTAGACATTTGTTGGGGGAAGGAGTGAGGTAAATGTTATAACTAGGCTTGTTCAATTTCACCTCATTCATTAAAAGAAAAACTAAAGATTGTTAATAAGGTGAGATGACATAAGTTAGCACGGTGGGCTACATTCAACACAGGAACAGACAGTAAACGCCCTCTCACAAAACTAGAAGTATCGTTGTTACAATCTTTATTTGTTTCTTATACCTTTTTTCCTTCTAGGGATTTCAATATTTTACTTTCGTTTACTATATTCTCTCTGTCCATTTAAGTGTGTCCAATCTCATATAAACATTTTTTCGTAATCCAGAGACATATAAAACTGTTTTATGTCTGCATAATCAATTAAAATAATTTTGATTGACACAATTGAAATGTATAACAAGTTTCTTAGATGGGCATTATTTGCAAATTGTGGCAGGATAAAACTTTTTGGCCACCAGTTGTGTTGGTAGTATCCTTCAGTTTGCGTCAGTCAACGTTGGGTAGAGTTCACTCGATGTTTCATTTCTTGAGGTCTCTCTTATGTTTTGTTACGTAAACTGTCGTTTTAAACGGTCATCTGCACTTGTTAACAGTTCCATTTATGTAATAATAGTAAAGATAGTTTTGACCATTCAGGCGTCGTGCGAAACAATTCGTTTGCAGTCCTTAAAATATTTGAAGAGTCGCTTGGTTGGAATTGCACTAAGGTATAAGGGTATATAATTATCTATAATGCACTGAAAACCGATGATCCGTGATGATTATGGCCGGGGATGATTTATTCTGATCGTGTGGATGATTTTGGATGATCAGGGATAATTTGTGATGGCGATGAATGATTTGTAATGACCAGGGATGATCCATAATGACCAGGGATGATCCAAAATGACCAGGGATGATCCATAATGACCAGGGATGATCCATAATGACCAAAGATGATCCATAATGACCAGGGATGATTCATAATGACCAGGGATGATCCATAATGTACAGGGATGATGCATAATGACCAGGGATGGTTCACAATGATCAGGGATGATCCATAATGACCAGAGATGATCCATAATGAATAGGGATGATCCAAAAGGACCAGGGATGATTCATAATGAACAGGGATGATCCATAATGAACAGGGATGATCCATAATGAACAGGAATGATCCATAATGACCAGGGATGATCCACAATGATCAGGGATGATCCATAATGACCAGAGATGATCCATAATGAACAGTGATGATCCATAATGACCAGGGATGATCCATAATGACCAGGGATGATCCACAATGACAAGGGATACTCCATAATGACCAGGGATGATCCATAATGAACAGGGATGATCCATAATGAACAGGGATGATCCATAATGAACAGGGATATGTGATAACCAGGCCTGATTTTTAATGACTAGAAGTGACTTCTGATGAGCAGGGATGATGTTGAGTTGGGTTGACTTTTTAAATATAAGTCAAAACATATTGGTAATTCATTTTAATTACTCTGACTACATTTATTAATACATAACCTTTGCTACAGACATGTATACTGCAAAATAAAAGAGCACAGAAATTGGAGAGTAGTTTTGTTTTCCATCTATAATCATCTTTTCCATAAATTTGGAAACTTTACTTCCAAAATATTAGACTACATTGATGGCAAAAGTTGATAACATACTTGATGGACTTTTGAAAACTGCCTGAAAGTCCCATTTTCAAAGAATTCACAAAAAAATATTTTCATATGGAAAGTTGAATTTTCCTATTTTGATGTTCTTATTCTTGGTGTATGCTTGACATACATTTCGTGTTTTTAAATTATTAACTTCTCAAAAAACATAAAATATTGACTGGTTTTTGGTTTAATCAATTTCCCAAACTAATTATCCCTACAGTCAAAATGCAAGCCTACACAAAAGTAGACATAGGCACAGACTTATTAATTACATGATGATAAGCTCAATCTTCATCCCTTCCAATCCTTCAAAATAGGTTTATTGCCTTTTATGGGTCACCCTGTATTATCAATATCTGAATCAATCAATTACATCGAAATGAACAAAAATAAACAAAAATAACAATAAATAAATAAATTGTAGTATTTTAAAAATAAATAGTGGAACAAAACACACAATGATAAATATGGCACTTAAAGTTCAAAATTGCACCTTTTAATTACCCAGAGTGTCTTAAATATCTAGAAGAACTAGTCTGCTCTTACACCAGTCAATATGAATGTACAAGTACCAATGGTCAAATACGAAAAAGTGTTAGAAGCAACAAAAGGAAAGATCTCAGAGTTCAACCTGTCATAAAGAAAACAAACCCCAAATATCCCAAATACATAATATCTAAATCTATCTGATTGGCTGACAAACTGATAAATATTTCAATTCGATCTGATTGGAACAGGTAGAAATAGAATGATAAGTTGATAAAACTTTGAAACTGAATGGCAAACAAATTGCCAATTTGCCACAATGATCAAACAGTATACAATAAAACCGAAATATTCAAGCTGGATTCTAGATTGACCATCTTCCACTTTGACTTCTCAAACGTATGTGCGTGGCCATAAATTTCATCAACTGTTTGTACTGAAATACTTTTTACAAAACATGCACCTCCAATAACATATTTAACGGGCAATACTCTTACTGAGTCAGTTTTTTTTTTCAATTCTGAATGAAGTTAATGACTCAGTAATGACAACATAAATATCCCAGTTTACATGACAGGCCCATAGAAAGGGGAGGGGGGGTTAGGGGTTTGAGTGAACCCCCTGGACAAAAATTGTTTCAATTTATCCATTCTGAGCACTTTCCAAGTGATTTGGGCCATTTTGGGCCAAAGTTGTCAAAAGTGCAACCCCTGGAAATTTAATAAAAAAAGTGAAACCCCTTGGCACATCTTGGCTACGGGCCTGCATGAAATTGGAATTTAGTCCTTGATCATTCAACTTGTTTCTATGTTATTTTTTGAAGTAATATTGCATATGTACAGTACTTAGTATATTTATCATCAAACAATACACTGGGAAACAAAGATAACGATCAAATTACAGGGAATTTGTGATTCTTCACGTTCTTAGATCCCAGTTTCCATACTAGAAATGTTGTGAGGCATTTGAAGAGGACATCTATATCAATAAGTGTTTTCTAATTGTTAGCTAACCTCGACAATGCTACTTATATGGGTTGACAATTCATTGATATTTAGTGGTTCCTTACAATAAACTCTTGGCAATGTTACTACTTGAAGGGGTTATTGATATCATTGTTCTTGAGTGTTTCTTTATAGCGGGCTAACAGTTTGGAAAGAGTCAAGCAGAACCCTCTTGATCCTGGCAAAAGGGGGAAATCTGGGAACTCGGGCAAAGACCCTTGTACCTCCAAATTTGGTAATGCTGAACACTCAACTTTTGGAATCCCTGCACCAGCACAAATTTGTTCATTCGAATCATTGTCAGTTTCATTTTTCTCATTAGCCTTATTAATATCATCATTTCCAATGGGAATGTTATTTTCATCTGGAGTTTTGTCTCCTATGAAGTGGTTATCCTCTTTACCGGGTTCTTTTTCAGAGTCTTGATTGTCAGTTGCTTTATTGTTCCCATGTGAGTTAGCCTCACCAGTCGAGTCATTAACCCTGCTAGCAGGGTTATCTACTTTCTTAACAGCTTCATCCACAATGCTTGCAAGGTTAATTTTTCGCACGAGGTGATCATTTGGAATTTGGCAATTTTGTGGTAAAATGTTAACAGCCAACGTTGAGGTCAGTTGAGATTGGTTTGTTGGAAGACTAGAGGGTTTTGTAGGAGTTTTTTGAAGCTGGTTTTTCACAGAGTAGTCCAACCATTTTTCTACTCTATCAGCTAGCCTAAAAGAAAAATAAGAAAAATTTGATTTTTTTCTGTGCTACAAATAGTTCTTAACTCTTCTCAGTCTGTTATGGAGTATACTCACATTTTCTTAGTGGGTGCTGATGAGTATAATTGTACAAAATGTGACTGTAAATAGCAGACCACATGTTAAAATAAAGTGAAATGGTCTATACTGATAAGAGTTAAAATAACATGTTTTTTTCAATATGAAAACATAGAAGGAACGCTGAATTTGTTCTGCAAAGTTGGGGCCACATTTTACAATTTGGGCCCATATTCTCAGAAACTACCAAGAAATGAAGTCAAATGAATGAAGCCCATTTCTTTCACCCATATCACTTGGTGAAATCGTCAAAATAATATATAAAAATATGTTTTATTTTCTGATATTTGTGTAAAAAGATGCGTAATAATACAGTATTTCCATTCAGTATTGTAATTATTATATTATATTATGAAGGAAAAAAATATAATCAGCATAATATACTACATTATATAGAGATTAATATAATATAATTAAAAATAAGTGAGATCCAAATATATTATTTGTACATATAAACATTTACCAAATCCGATTATCTCAATAAGAAAATGTAGCAGAATGTTTTATTCCCGGTATAATATTCTTTTTTAGAATTATTTGCGCTAATTTATATTTATTCTGTCTTTCTAAAATATTATTTGGTCATATTTATCAATCCAAACTGATGATTGCAGTCTATTTAGATTTTTTCTATTCTAAAAATATTATTTTCTAGTATTTTCCAATCTAAGCAGAATATATCAAATTATATTGTATTATTTGGGTTCTAGAAAATATTATACTCGACTATTCTCGTCCAACTTGATGTACAATCCATCTGGTTAATTACTTAACCAAACAAAACAAAGAATGCACAGCATGGCAGTTAATAGGATTAACCGTTCTACTGGCCTTCTCATCTCTATTACTTACACATGTCACACATATTTAATTTTGACTGTTCTATTTCTATTTGAAAAATATTTACAAATAAATGTTTAGAAGAAAGAAATTTAACTTGTTTTAAATTAATGTTAACAATGGAGTAAAAATGTGAAAAGTCATCAATTAAAAATCAAATAATTAACTTTCCAATGAGTTAATCGATTCAATTCAAATTTTAACACAATGTTAATCATAGAAAGAGGGATTTTATACAATTAAACAAATATGAAAAACTTAATTTGCAAATTATTATTTTTGTGGAAAATAAAACAATCGGCTCTAGATATTAATCCATTCACTCTAACAAACGGATTAACTCTAACAATCGGATTAGTTATCAGTGAACAAAACTCATTTCATAGAAATTGAAAAAACTTAGAGATTAAAGTATAACTTATATTGCTCTGTCATCAATACATGTACATGTATGTGAATGGTGTAAATCTTCATGATTTTGAAAGAATTGTTGGCCAAGGGGAGGGGATTGTTACTCGTTAGGTACGGGCCTGTATAAAATGCGTAATGTTTCTAGCTAAAATTTGAGCAGTTCTGTGTCAAGACTATTTTTCTGGTTGGCAGAGTGAATACGGGTGGTTGTTTGTGCCTGTGTAAGAGTCACTGGCATGTAGCGGCCCTGATATCGATAAATTCTACACGCAATATAACCCGATTTTAGATGCTTGGTTAAAACTTTACACGAAAAAGCCTCGATATCCGGGCATTTACTCTTACACTGAACTGAAAATAGCATCGTCTAAACGTGTATGTCTTGGCTTCCGGGTGAGTTTATCAACATTTATACTCAATTGAAAGAGCAGTCGTGCTTATATCGTGTACCAGTTTGATTGTTTTATATGTGTGTGTATTTATAATATGATAGCCTAGTAATACCGTGTCGTTAGAACAAGTGCTAGATATCGAACTGATGACCTGAAATTAGATTATTGGACTGATCGCGCATCTGATATTAGATGATTAATTTGCATTGAATCTGATATTAGCTTGCAACCCAATACCACAGTAAATACCATGACTTTACATTAGAATGATAACACGGCCTCATATTCTAATTTATTATACGTCCATTGCAGGCCAAAAATGTTTCAATGTGGATATTGTAATGCACACGAGAATACATTCGATTCGTGTATATTGATCATACATCAATTGAACATGGAGATTTTCCTGTACACTTTTCCCAAATATGTGGAATAGACTAGATGCGAGTAGAAATTATCTTGATTTATCCTATGCCAAGTAGGGTTTTAGGGAGATAAGTTGGTAAGATATATCCCGTATCCTGATTTTGAGGTTTCCATATCAAGAACCTCCATATCTCCCGTCATATCTCCCGCTTCAGTGCATATCTTCCCGCTTCGGGGCGTATCTTCCCGCTTCCAAAAAAAGTGGAAATGCAATAAAATGACTTTGCATATGAATGATTTGTTTATTTTTTACACCTTGTACTACTGAAAACTCTACTTGGTATAGGATAAAGCAGTTATGTACGGTCGGTTTGGATATTGGGTTCATCCCTCGTGAGATATGCACATCTACTTTCTGTCCCTACGGTCCCTCAGGTAGATATGCATATCTCCCTCTGGAAAAACCCCATATCCAAAACCCCCCAGTACATAACCCTTATTTATCCCATGGTTACAAGGATATAGATCGAATATCACGTGAAGATATAATTGATACGTGGATGAAGATCATATTTTAGCAAACAATTCCCAAATCATCGAATATCACTTTTGAAACCATCGAATGTCACTTTTTGAAAGGTGATATTCGATGGTTTCAAAAGTGATATTCGATGGTTTCAAAAGTGATATTCGATGGTTTTGATTTTTTCAATTTTTTTATTAATTCAGCAAAACGATTGTTTATATATTTTTATTTTTTGGGATCTTGTTTTTACGGCGTTCGCATTAAATACAAACCACTCTGTTACGTCACGTATATGACGTTCGTTGAATTATCGCAATCAAAATGTCAGACCAAATGGAATTTCCATTGCAATTTATCTGACTATTCAATGTTCGCTGGATAATAATTCCCAATGGGATAAACGGACAATCCTATGTTTTTTCAAAAATATCACTTATATCCACTCATGGATATCAGTATCTTCACTCATTCGCTGCGCTCACTGGCGAAGATATCAATATCCACTCATGGATATAAGTGATATTTTTTCAGAGCCATAGGATATTCCTATATTATTCCATAGTTAGCATGATATCCATAGGATAACATGTCAAAATAAAAACGGTATTTTTGAAATCAGTGGTAAAATATGATATTTTTGGCAAATTTTCACTTAACCATAGCATACGGTGTTTTAGGGGGGGCTTTTAGCCATGACATACGGCGCCGTATGCCATGGTTTATGGATTTTTGCTACTTCAGACTCAAAACGAGGCTAAGTGTCAATATCGCCGTATCGTTTGGAAAATTCGTTTTAAATCACTTAATTCCCGACGATTCTGATGATGACTTTAACTATGGAATATAAAGAACATCCTATGATTTACTCGTGATATGATTTTAATCCACTTATGGATGTTGATATCTGCACTCTCTCGCTACGCTCACTCGTGCAGATATCATATCCATTCGTGGATAAAAATCATATCACTCATAAATCATAGGATATCCTCTATTTAAGATGTGATATTCGATAGTTTAAAAGTGATATTCGATGGTTTGTAAATTGTTTGCTAAAATATGATATCTTGATCCACATATCAAATATATCATCATGTGATATTCGATCTATATATCACTCATAAATCATAGGATATCCTCTATTTAAGATGTGATATTCGATAGTATAAAAGTGATATTCGATGGTTTGTAAATTGTTTGCTAAAATATGATATCTTGATCCACATATCAAATATATCATCATGTGATATTCGATCTATATCCTCCTTGCAACCATGGGATAAAGCTTTACGCCCCGCTCCAAGCGGGCAGATATAGTATATCTGCCCGCTACGTCATAATCGCCGCTTGCATGTTTGTTCATAATTTGTAACGTTCGCGGAATGACTGTAAACGGCAATGGAGAAAACACAGACAATCAGGGTCTGTTTGATAGTTAAAAAAGGGGAAAGAGCATCCACTTAATCAATAAAAAATTCGAGAAAATAAATATGGGAATATTTGAGAGAACATGAAAATCCGCCCACGGCCAAGAAAACAAAACTGGACATGAATATTCTAAAATGTTTCCACGATTTAACAATGTGAACCAGATGACCAAGATTGGTATGGGATAAACATATTATCCTATAGTCGCGGTTCAGGATATTGGGATTATCCCTTGGCCAATATATAGGGGTTATGCAATTGGAGGTTTTGGATACAGGGAATATCCCGAGGGATATACAATATATCTTCCCGAGGGACCGAAGGGACCAAGGGAAGATGAATTATATATCCCTCGGGATATTCCCTGTATCCAAAACCTCCAAGTGCATAACTGTTGTATATAGTTTAGCATGATATGTACTTCTTTCTGTAACTGGAATACGATTCTAATATACAAGCAGCACATACGTATTCCCGGGGAACCATAAATATTTTGTGTAGGGTGTGGACATTTTTCTTTTCATTTCTCTAAAATCAGATTATTCTCATAAAATTCATACAAAGTTGGGCCTAAGCCTCTATTTTCGTATTCTGCATGTTAAGATATTTATAATGTAAAACCTAAGAGATAAATTCAATGTCTTCAGTTGAGAATAAGTATAAGGTAAATGTGTGAATTCTGCTTGTTGTTGCACTATTTTTATAATAAACAAGGTTCGATACGCAACACTGAATAGACTGCAGTCATAGCTTAGTTGTAAAGAAAACAAAAGAAGTGGGGCGTGATCATGCTTGAATACGATTTTAAATATATCGCCCTTTACATTTGTTGAAATCGGCCTGTATTAATTTCAACAGGTGATCGGTGTACAAGGGCATATATTTGAGTTATTGGTTTAACGATAAGTATGACCTATGAGTGGGTAATGTTTTACAAATGCATGAAACAAATACTCCAATGGCCTAATCTCAATTTTCCTGCATAAACTATTACATTGAAATGATGGTCATTTGCTCTCTAACTTCCGCACCGCATACGTAACTTCGTAACAATTCAATAAGCCAAGACAGGACCGCTATAATCGCTACATGCCAGTGAAGAGTGGCGCTTAAATGTTGTTTGTTGTTAACTTTATATGGCAGAGAAACAATGGAGTAAAAATGTGAGGAAGCCCATTGATTAAAAATTAACTTTCCGTTGAGTCAATCAATTTAATCCAAATTTTAACACAATGTTAATCATAACATAAGGGACATTATAGAATCAAATAAATATTTTTTTGTGGAACTTAGAACTGTTGGCTGTAGGAAATTAATCCATTGCCTCTAACAAACGGATTAGCTTTCAGTGTTAACAAAACTCATATTAAAGAAATTGAATAATTGGGGATTAAAGTTTTACTTATCATATTGCTCCGACATACATGTACTGTATGCCAACATGTTATTTACATCAGTTTGTTCTACCATGCACCAATTTGCTCAAAGCGTAATCATCGCTATGTCAGATGAAACATTAGGAATAAATGTAAAATGTGCCCGCTTCTTTATTTTCATTATCAAACAACTAAACATACCGAATATACATTTGGAAATGGAAAACCAAAAATTAATTAAAACCAGCTTTAATTAAAATGGTCCAATTGTACAGAAGTAGAAACAAATGTATTACATCGTGGACTAATCTGTTGTTTATATCCCCAGTTTATATCTCAGATATATGGATAACAGAAAATGCATGAATTGTGAAATGTGAGAGAATACACGTTTTAATTTTGTTTTAGCATGGCTTAACACTACTTGTATCAGTTAACCTAATGTACCATTCTTATTTATTATCAGCGGTTTGCCAGAAGAAATCGGAGCAATACATGTACATCCAATATAATACAGGCTCGGAATAAGTTTTAGCCCAGGGGATCAATTTTCAAAACAAACCAAGGGGTCACACTTGATCATTTTGGCCCGAAATCATTTAACAGTGCTCAGATTGGTAAAAAAAATGTAGGATTTTGAAAGAATTTTGGCAAGGGGGGGGATTTACTTGAACCCCCCCTCCCTGGCCATGGACCTATACCAAATTCGTAATGTGTTGATATATAGCAGTTTCATGTCATAAATGTTTTGTGTTGTTTGTGTGAATTAAGGTGTTTGTGCCTGTGTAAGAGGGGGCTTTAAGTGTTGTTTGTTGTAAACTTAATTTGACAGAAAAACAATTGATTTAAATTGTGAGGAAACCCAATAGAGTAAAAATGTGAGGAAACCCATTGATTAAAAATTAACTTTCCATTGAGTCAATCAATTAAATCCAAATTTTAACACAATGTTAATCATAACATAAGGGACATTATACAATCAAATAAATATGAAAAACTTAATTTGCAATTTATTTTTCAGTTGAAATTAGAACCATTGGCTGTGGAAATTAATCCATTAACTCAAACAAACAGATTATTTATCAGTGTGAACAAAACTCAAATCATGGAAATTGAATAATTAGGGATTAAAGTTTGACTTATTATATTGCTCTGGAATGTCAATACATGTATGTGAATGGTGAAAAACTACATGATTTTGACAGAATTGTTGGCCACGGGGAGGGGGTCCTCAGCTACGGGTCTGTATAAAATGCGTAATGTGTTTATTGAATATTGAGCAGTTCCCTGTCATGACTGTTTTTTCCGGTTGGCAAAGTGAATACAGGTGGTTGTTTGTACCTGTGTAAGAGGGAATCGATTTAAATGTTGTTTGGTATAAACTTAATGTGACAGAGAAACAATGGATTAAAAATGTGAGGAAAACAAATTAATCAAAAATTAACTTTACAATGAATTAATTGATTGAATCAAAAATTTAACACAATGTTAATCATAACATGAGGGACATTATACAATCAAATATGTATGTAAAAACTTATTTTGCAAATTATTTTTGTGGAATTAAGAGCCATCAGCTGTAGAGATTAATCCATTAACCCTAACAAACAGATTAATTATCAGTAGGAATGAAACTAATTTCATAGGAATTGAATAATTAGGGATTAACGGCTCGAAAATAAACGCGTATAATAGGTTTTTGATTGAAAATGCCAACATATTATTTGCTCCTGACAGGAATATTATTCTATATTATTTGGCATTATATGTTGTTCCCTTTAAATACTACACGAATAATATTATTAAATCAAAAATAATTCTTAAAAATACGTATTATATTTTTTCCGTTATATTAAAAGAAATAACTGCCTATTATACAGGAAAAAATATTCTCTACGATTCTCTCTTAATGCAACTTATTTAGCAGTATATTAAACATTTTATTCTATATTATTTTTACTTTTTTACCAAGTGTATCTGACAGTGTAAAATAGCAAATCTTAACCATTATGAGTTTGTATACTGTACCTGTATCCGTGTTTGTTTAGATACTCAATGGCATCTTCTTTGAAAACTTCTGGGGGATTCTTACAAATACACTGCATTGACTGAAAATAAGAAAAATTGTGTTTATAACCCCCATTATAATTCTGCCATTTTATTTTATTAACAAAAGGGTTAACATAAATTGTCTATAGACACCAAGCCTGGGCTTCCTCCCAATATGATGCTCATTTCTGCCTCTCAATATTTAGCTCTAGGACTGGATACCATTTGAGAGATGTTTTCTCACATATAAGCATATGACAACAATACCATACAAGGCACTAAACACCCCGACATTTGAACTCGGAATCCTACAAATACTCGGACTTCAGCAAACATGAGATTTGGGCAAATTAGGTTCAATTCTTATGACGGGCATAAGAGTAGATCTGTTCTTATGCCGGGCATAAGAGAAGATCTGTTATTATGCCGGGCATAAGAGAAGATCTGTTCTTATGCCCGGCATAAGAGTAGATCTGTTGTTATGCCCGGCATAAGAATTGAACCTAATTTGCCCAAACCTCATGTTTGCTGAAGTCCGAGTATTTGTAGGATTCCGAGTTCAAATGTCGGGGTGTTACTAACATGCAAAATGTCACCACCTGCCATTTGTAACAAATGCAAACCACCAAACGCCAACCAACTAACTCCAAACACCGAAAGTCATCCACAGAAGAGTTGGAAACTATAACATTATGTCACCACTTCTGATGTTGGCATAATAGAAATTTCAAATATGATAAAAACTTGTTAAGTTCTTGTAAATACCTGCACCATCTTAATAACTGCCATTTCATTGTACACTTTGCTATTCTCAAGGCCTTGTTGTGTACCTTGTTGTTTCTCATAGCCGGCCTCATTGTAGTAAGGTTGCTTCACCAAAATAAGGCCTACAATTAATACAATGTACAATATTCAAATAATATGTAAAAAATATTTAAGTATTACATTGCCACAGTTCAAAAATATGTTTGATTAGGACTAACACTTATGTTTTAAATCAATTTCTCCCATCAATATTTTGATGATCCAGTGTAGAAAAAAGCTTGACGTCCTCTTATGTAAAAAAATGGTGCATCAAGCCCTTTGTGACATCTATTTTACAATAAACAACATGTATATTATATTACTTTTTACTTTTTAATGATAACGTAAATGTACCTTGAATAGAGACAAGGACTTGTAGCAGGTTTGATTTATTGGTCCAAACTTCTGTATCCTGCAACAAAATTACAAATAAATCAATTGACTCTATTGTTTATATTGAACCAATCAGAGAGTAGCACTGAACGATATAGATTTACTACTTCTAAAATGAAATTTATTTTTAATTTAAATTTATTTTTTATTTTCAATTTTAAATTTAAATATTTCTAATATGCTTATTTTTTAGTTTTTTTGCAAGTACCTCAAATAACTTGAATAACTTTTCCTTGAAAAATCCCATATTTTGTCTTAGAATTCTTGACCTCAAAATCGTAGAATTTTTGACAATATTTATCCAAAGTAAGCAAGCCATTAAAATCTGCATGTACTTTAAATCTTCTAACCATCGAGACAAAGATAATTTAAGTTATTTATTTCATATGTGAAATATTTTCTACAGGTTCAAAAAGTTAAAGTTTTTATGCTTTCAAACCTTTCCACTCCAAGTTCCCAATAGGCTAACGCAGACTTTCCCATCCTCATACAGATTTGGATTCAGGCGATCATTACAGTATGACAGATAGTGAAACAGTGGAGGGGATTCTGGGTAATCAGCAGGTAGCATAACATCGAAGAAGAATAGACCATCCTCGTATGGTGTGTGCTCTGGCCCATAGATCATAACAGAGAAAATATCCTACAAAACAGTTTATATTCTATAATGATTTGTATTACACAATATTTGACTTACTTTTCTGGATGGGGTACTTTCCAATTATCAATAGCTGATGAAGAATGGAGTTACTTTCTTAAGAGTGGGGGGGGAGGTAAATGATGATTACATTAGTGAAGAGTGTTGATGAAAGTTTTTGAAAATTCAAGTCATAAGACAAATCAGGATTTTGAAATTTGTCATATGGAGTGGGGGGGGCTTACCATTCTTTCATCAAATCCCCTTACAAATATGCCAGAAGGGAGACTGGTACACAAGAGCTTCATCTGAAAGCAGGGAAAAGTACATGCAGTATTATGAAAATATAACAAGTCGATGTATTTAAGCTTTTAATTGGTAATATTCCTTACAATACAGTGTATTTGGTCATGGTTTTCGACATTTTCGAAAGATTTGTCCAGAGAATATAGCTAGATAAAAAACTTTATTCAGGAAATGGAATTGCTCTCTGTTTGATTTTACCATTTTGAAGTTCAATATTAGTCTCTCTTTACAAATATTTTCACATTATTTTCAGATTGTTCACATTTAAAAAGGGAATGGCTCATATTAGTAGTTTTTATCTTCAGGCCAAGTAGACCCAATAAAAAAATTTTCACTTCAAAAATTTAAAGATATGGGTAACAAATAAAAAATGATAATGGAACAATTACAAAATTAGACATTTGCAGAACTATCACTACACTTCATAGTTCATACAATAAACACAGTAGAACCTGTTAAGTGGAGCACCATTGGTTCCTCAAAATAATGTTTCACTTAATAAGTTAGGAGGCTTTCCACTTACAGACATTTGTTTTTGTTCAGTTTTAATTCAATCTATTTAATCAATGTTTATTACATATTACACATTAGTAAAATAGATGGTAAGGAAATGGGGGAGGGGGGTATTTCTGAGACAGGCCATTTCGATTATGAAAGAGCAATCGTGGGTTTAACATTTGTTTAACATTAATATATCTACGAGGCACATTCTCACTTTCAAAATAAGCTTGTATTCGCGAATGCAACTTACGCTTTTCGACAACTGGATTGACCTACTTTTTTTAGTATGTTATTCACTACAGAGGGGATTTTATTCAAGAATCTATGTAATATGTGTCTTGAAATGGTGTTCACTTAACACAAGTGTTCACTAGAGAGGTGGTCACCATAATATATTGTTCAAAATAATAATAATTACCTCCTTCCTAACTGCAGTTGTAAAAGACTTTAGATTGACAGGCTGGTGTGGGGTCTTTTTAAACCTGTGCCCTTCTGGAACAGTATCTAGAATCTTGAATGCTGAAATATAACATTTTATTGAATAATTATAAAGATGCAAACTTGTGACCGCAAGTTGATAGTTTTATTGTGCATTGATGATTTAAATGTGACATCAATGGCTTTGGATGAATTTTAAACAATGTGACATCTCTAGGGACCCAATAATGCTAAGACCGAATATCCTAGGTTATTCCAAATACTGTGTAATTGTATCAAGGCCTCACAACACCCTCCCCTTAATCATCTACACTATACATAGATGTGAAATACATAGACCTGAAGAAGACTTAATGCAAGACTGATTTTGATATTTTATTGTGTATTTTCAATAAGTTTTTACCTTCAATATTCTCCATGGTGGCTGACAGATCAGATATGTCACTGACAGGACTTTTTATGTCGCTACTTTTTTCTATCCCAGAATTCCCTGGTGGGATATCGAGACCCATATGCGTAACCAGCATATCAATAAGAGAATCATTGTCATTATCATCATTTTCAAGTTCAAGTTCCGTTAACAATTTACTGACGACATTCAGTCCAGTATTGCTGAGACTTGTGGGCACTTTTGCTCCTGAAAGGTCCTTAAAAGGACTTCCTGTGTTGCTGCGGCATGGTTCACTGAATCCAACAATTTTTTGTTTCTCGGGAGTTTTATTGGAATCATTCATTTTTTCAAGATTGCGCTTTTTAAGATGATCCAGGTCTCTCTGTATCTTGCCCATACCTTCTTTCAGTAACCTACAAGCGTTCTCACAGGACCGTTTTGCCTTGTGAGCCTTTTTAGAGCTATTAGTATGCGTTTGAGATTCTGCATCCTTCTTAGAGGGTTCAGGGGAGGTATCAGCAGTGTCAACAGCTGCTGCTTCTCCTAGTAATTGCTCTGTATCCTCCCCTGCATCACCAGATTGGGCCATACAAGCTGCCGGCGACTGAAACAACCCCATAACATGTGCCGTTAGCTCACTGGCCCTCTCCTTTTTATAACTCCGACGTATCACACTGATTAGATCCTTGATTTCATCAGCATCGAAATAACTTGTGTCCAACTGGTTGTCAAGTTTACGACATGATTTGTAACATTTTATGATGCTCTGGTACATAACAGTGAGGAAGGGTAAAATGTCGCTCTGGGTGGTGAGGTTCGTTCTAAGGGCCTCTATCGTGTGACGAGCCTCATTTAGTCTATCTTGGTAGCCCTGTAAGCTTGACTCTGGTATATTCGGTAACTCGCCACCACTTGCAGTTTGGTCACTGAAAGGAGTGAAATTGTTTATACTTTTTTTCATTTACATTATTCAGATATACCCCACAAGTGTCTTTTTCATGACACAATAAACACTTATGTGTCCAAAATCTTTGAATAAATATAACAAATAAAAATAATACGATACAATGTACAAAAACTGATGACAATATAACCCCCGAAGGTGCTATAAAAATAAATAGTAGCAATATATCTCTTTCCCTTGATTTGCCTCATCTAATAACACCCCTAAATACACCCCTTCCCCTTGCTGGTTCTTACTTTTCATTATCAGTGTCTTCCTCAGAAGTTTCTGCCTCATCTTGTGTCTCCCAACTGTTGTCTGTTGCTTCCGTACCATCACTATCTTCATCACTATAGTCATCATCACTACCAAACTCAGACATCTAAATCATATAAAAATGTAAAATTAAGACCAGGGTGTTATGAGAAGGGAGGGGTAGGGCTTGGTCAATTGTTGTGGGGACTGAATGATCACTTTCAAACTCTGACATATCAAACATACAAGTAAGATGTATCATGGAGATATGTCACTCCCGAAAGACAGGGGGTTGTTCAATTTTGGGAGTGAGACAGTGAGAGCTGGATTTCTGGCAGGCCCATAGCCAGGGGGGGTTCACATGGTTCGGCCGAACCCCCCCCCCTGGCAAAAAATTCTTTCAAAATCATGCAGTTTTTCACCATTTTGAGCACTTCTCAAGTGATTTGAGCCATATTTGGGCCAAAATTGTCAAATGTGAACCCCCCCTGAAAATTTTTGAAAACTGAACGCCCCCCTTGGCAAATCCTGGCTACGGGCCTGTATGGGTCAGCATTTTAAAGGGATGATATGAACGGGTCAATATCAAAGGAAATAAAAGGGAAAAAGAGTTTAAAATGTTGGACACAATCTTTTCAGAAATTCTTCCAAGGTTTTCCACACAATCTTAATTATTCTGAAAAAATGGAACTATCATCAAATTATATGGAAGTTATTGAAGATTTAAGAAGCGGAAATGTGTGCAAATTCAGTAACATTGTAAAGGGGAGGTCTCCTCTTTCAATTTTTGCAAGGTAACCTTAAAAATTAAAATGTCATCCTGAAATAAGTCTACACTTTTAGAAAATAGAAGTGAGTTCGAATGATACGAAAAATTGTACTGGACAACTTTTCAAAACTTATTCTTAATTCATCTCTTTAAGTGCAGTTGGCCATGCGTGACCTTTTATTAAATATACTTTATATCCCCTTCTTACCAGAATATTATGTCAGAAGATTATTGAGGCTTGAACTATTTTACAACTTCAAAGCATGCAGACAGAAAATATGTTCACAACATCAAAATGAATATCAACTGAATAATCATAGCAAACGATAAAACACCTAAATTATACTTTTAAAAAATGTGATACAATTCTAACATACCATGCATAAGCTAATAAATCTGGCCATGTTATTCCTAATGGTGAATGGTATTTCTAAATGCTGCTATGGTTTTTCTAAAAAATTTCTGGTACGTTGCTCTAAATGTTGTTATGGTATGTATGTGCTGATGCTTTAATTCAATCAAATTTAACGAGCAAAGAAAACAACTTAGTTGAACATGTATTCCAACGAACTTCCACATTAACCATAATTTTTAAAACATAAAATTATACTGTTTATGAATAATCATGACCAAATTAACACAGTATTCTGTGACAATCTGACCTGGCTGTTCAATAGTGATGTTTTCAGGAGCGCCCCATATTCCTGATGAAAGCATTAAGCAGACAATTGAACATTTCAGTAAAACCTGGCTAAATGAGATAAAAAGTTATCTCCATTTTGACCTCCTACCTACCATGGTAAAAAAAAATCATGTTAACAAAACCTCTTAAAAAAGAGTTTGCTTTTATCAATTGTTGATTTTTTGGCTACACAAAATTGATATCACACTACTAGATATCACACAAATAGATATCACACAAATTGATATCACACAAATTAAGTTAGTGTGCCCTTACAAGACCTGAAGTCAAAATGCTTTCACTATCGCATTTGTTCAGTGTTACAGGCAGGTTTTACAGTAGTCTTGCTTAAGACCCTGGACTCCCCCTCCCTAATCAACTTAACTCCCAGGTGAAGTACATACTCAACATAGTCATGGGGGAGTACACAGTCTTGGAGCAAGACAAGTCAGGTGTAGTCTTGCTTAAGACCCTGGACCCCCCCCCCCTGATCAACTTTACTCACAGGTGAAGTATATACTCAACATAGTCATGGGGGGAGTACACAGTCTTGGAGCAAGACAAGTCAGGTGTAGTCTTGCTTAAGACCCTGGACTCCCCCCCCCCCCCCCTGATCAACTTTACTCACAGGTGAAGTATATACTCAACATAGTCATGGGGGGAGTACACAGTCTTGGAGCAAGACAAGTCAGGTGTAGTCTTGCTTAAGACCCTGGACTCCCCCCCCCTGATCAACTTTACTCACAGGTGAAGTATATACTCAACATAGTCATGGGGGGAGTACACAGTCTTGGAGCAAGACAAGTCAGGTGTAGTCTTGCTTAAGACCCTGGACCCCCCCCCCCTGATCAACTTTACTCACAGGTGAAGTATATACTCAACATAGTCATGGGGGGAGTACACAGTCTTGGAGCAAGACAAGTCAGGTGTAGTCTTGCTTAAGACCCTGGACCCCCCCCCTGATCAACTTTACTCACAGGTGAAGTATATACTCAACATAGTCATGGGGGGAGTACACAGTCTTGGAGCAAGACAAGTCAGGTGTAGTCTTGCTTAAGACCCTGGACCCCCCCCCTGATCAACTTTACTCACAGGTGAAGTATATACTCAACATAGTCATGGGGGGGGAGTAGTACTCAGTCTTTGAGCAAGACTAGTTTTACAGCATATATTTTAATTCATCACGACATTGCAGGCTAATGATTATAAAATATTGATAAATAAGCACTGTATATGAAACATACTAGCACATATTATGGACATAGTATACTTTACTGGTCAAATGTGTCCATATACACTTAACAATTTTTAATAATTTTTTTTCAAAAAACTTGTTTCTAAAATTTTGATGCTTCAACTTCCACACCATGGGTAATCTTGTTAGGAGGATATCTAGCATGAGTGAAGTATAACTGGATTACAAAATAAAGGTAATTGAGGGAAAACCCTTAACTTCTGTTACAAAAAATTAAGACAGTAGACCAAAGCACTAAATGTCTTTATCTTACGATAAATTAATAAAAAATGTCTGAAATGAATCGAAAATGTAACAATTTCTCACCTCTTCCCCAAAGGTATAGAGTTCCTGAGGGTAGCAGAATGATTGAGTTGTATCTCCCCATTGTATCTTCAGTCTCCCGTCAGTCATAATCTCATAAACCTGACCGCAAGCCTGAGCATTTGCATCCTTTAAAATACATGTTAATTCAACATGGCATTAACATGCAAAATTTCACCACCTGCCATTTGTTAAAGCTGAATACAAACTACCACTTCTGGTAGTGATATAAAAATCAAGGATCCCACAGGCTGAAAATATCTTAAATGTTAAACAATAAAAATAATTCACACTTATATGAAGAGAAAACAACTGAGCTACTTCAATGTTTCTTGCTGCACTTTGTAACGTTTCCCCAGATTTTATGCTTGTGTTTACATACATGTACTATTTATGATACCAATATTTTTGTATGAATAACACCAAAGCATGAGAGTAAAATTGTAAAACAATATAAGCATCAGTAAATTTGATATTTTGCCTCCTATTCTTATCATAATATCCACAGCCCATATCTAATCCCTTCCAGTAAATAACCTGTATTATAGTGTATATTACCTCAGCACAACCTATTCTAACCACAACTGTACCAGTGGTCATGGTATTTTATATCATATACACTTGGATATAACCCATGTCCAATATCCAGTAAATAACCTCTATATTACCTCTGAGCTAGATATTCTAACAACCACTGTGATAGGCCTGTAGCTGTAATCTTCGTAGTCTTTTATATCATATACATTTAAATATAACTCATATCCATCCCTCCCAGTAAATAACCTCTATATTACCTCTGAGCTAGCAATTCTCACAACCACTGTGCCAGGCCTGTAGCTGTAATCTTTGTGGTCTTTTATATCATATACATTTGGATATAAGCCATATCCAATACCCAGTAAATAACCTCTATATTACCTCTGAGCTAGATATTCTAACAACCACTGTGATAGGCCTGTAGCTGTAATCTTCGTAGTCTTTTATATCATATACATTTAAATATAACTCATATCCATCCCTCCCAGTAAATAACCTCTATATTACCTCTGAGCTAGCAATTCTCACAACCACTGTGCCAGGCCTGTAGCTGTAATCTTTGTGGTCTTTTATATCATATACATTTGGATATAAGCCATATCCAATACCCAGTAAATAACCTCTATATTAACTCTGAGCTAGATATTCTAACAACCACTGTGCCAGGCCTGTAGCTGTAATCTTTGTGGTCTTTTATGTCATATACATTTAAATATAACTCATATCCATCCCTCCCAGTAAATAACCTCTATATTACCTCTGAGCTAGATATTCTAACAACCACTGTGCCAGGCCTGTAGCTGTAATCTTTGTGGTCTTTTATATCATATACATTTAAATATAACGCATATCCATCCCTCCCAGTAAATAACCTCTATATTACCTCTGAGCTAGCTATTCTCACAACCACTGTGCCAGGCCTGTAGCTGTAATCTTCATGGTCTTTTATGTCATATACACTCACTTCCTCATGCCCAACGTAAGTTGGTCTGAAATATAAATTAAACAAAATAAAATAATAAGGTAAAATATGAGTTCTTAATTTTGGGAGACTGAGCTGTACTTTCTCAAAAAACATACAAATGCTCAATTTCAATTTGCTCAATTTGTGGTGCTACACCACAGTCTAAAAGCCTCGTGAGAGCCCGGGGTTTTAAGGTTGAACATTTTGATTGTTCAGTACTCATTTACTTGCCATGTAAGGAAGGGGAGCTTAAATGATATGTCATTTCCAAATGACTACGTATCCAGCCTTTTATAATATACTCTAAAATGCAAAACCAAATTAAATAAAATTTCTAGTATTCAAAAAGGCCAAGAAAAAATGTTTGACCATGGATGTTTTGAAACCACCAGACAGGTACAACATATTGAACATTCAATTTGTAAAGGCCTTGCTATTGTACCTTGTTCCTTTCCCAGTTTCGTAAGGTGTCATCCAGTGAATAGTACAAGTTCTCTCACCATGGTCAACAGTCTGTACAACTCCATATTGATCTCTATGCTCATCTGGAAAAAGCGAGAATTTTCCATTAATTTTTGTGTGATTTGTCACTGATTTCATTAAAAAAGCATACAGGTATTTCAGGGCAAGGTGTGAATTTCAGTATTTTTAATTCTAGAGAAACCATTGGGTATACTTGAGTGTCAACAGAATTATGTTTTAATATGGAATCAAAAAAGCAAATGGTTTGGTAATCATAGAAAATAGTCAGTTGTCTGAAACCATTGTAGGTAAAATAATTACTGTAAATGATGTTACATCATCCCGAGTTAATTAGCTAATCGAGCCATAGCTGTCACTGTACCCTGAGCACATTAGCTAAAAATAAGGAGATGAAGCTCTCTATGAACAGGCAAAATCGAAGTAATAGAAAGATTAGCTAAGTAGTGTAATTTTCACTTACCATTATTTGAGAGCACAACATCACCAGGGAAGAACTCTCTTTCGTCTAAATGATGTATTGGATACAAATCAGTTGAGGGAATGTTCTTCTGTATAGTTCCATCCTGCCACATTACCTCCACATTTGAAGAGGTATAGATAATCTCACAAGGGACATAGTTCCCGGGTTTCACTTGACATTGTAGTGGCTTCTCTTTTTTCGCTATTTTCCCTCGACCCTGTTTTCGCTTGGCGAGTCTCGTTTGAAGTGATGGCCCTTTTTGCGCTCGTTTTTTCCTCGAACTTGAGGATGAATTTGAAGCGTTTGACCCTGTATCCGATTCCATATCTTCATAATCTGAATCTGATTCCGATTTCGTAGGCACCAAATCAGCATGTTCATTTATTTTATTTTCCGTTGCTAAATTTTTGAATTTCAAAAGTTCATCAAGTTCCTGACCATGTGAGTTACTGTCAGGAATGAACTGTTGCACAAAATTGCCTACAGTTTTGTAACTTTTACTGTACTCAACTATATTATCATTTGGCTTTATTTTGTAAAATACCATGTCTCCTATCTGCACAGTTGACGATTCAAAACAGTTCAATTTCTTCAACCTGAAATTAAGATATATAATTAACAATACATTTTATCAAATAAATCACAATGAATGTGAAAAGAATAACTGTAGAAAGTTGATCCATAAATAGAAACAAGGTATTTATCGACATGCAAAATGTCACCACCTGCTATTTGTTACAGGCTCCAAACACCATCTGTGGAACTCTTAACACTGAACAACAACCATCAATTGCCAAACACATGTGGTGGTGACATAATAACTGTGTGTCACTTTCTGGGATCGGGAAAGTGTATACACTATACAACATGCTACTTTTGCTCATCTTGATTCCATTGAAACAGATCAACTCATTTGACCACATCCCAAATTGGTGATTTTTTTCTGAAATCATTGAGGTTCATGTCTATTTCAGTGACTTTTCCATTATTTACAATTTAACTACATATAACAATTTGTACTAACTTGTTTTCTAAATCTGCCTTTGTGAGTTTAGAGGGAGGGGGACTACAATTATTTTGTGACTCTGAGTAGCCTTTGCATAACCAGTGTACATCCATAGCACGAGTCTCCACCTTAAAAAGAGTGAACACTTGAATGCATACCAAAGCCTGTGTGACAATAAAATACATTTAACTCCAATCAAATCTGAAACAGTTCAACAGTCTGGAGTGACTGAGTCATGAATTGTAAACTCCGAAATAATGATATTGAAATGTTAGCATTTTCATCTAATTCTTAATTCTGCCCTTTCTTGTAAACACTCGTCCATCATGAACAATTCCCATAAACACCAGTACCACATGATGAACAATTTTTCAGGTTTCAAAAGTGTTTACTTAACAAAGGCATTAGAGATGTCCTATTCAACTTGCTTTCCTTCACAATTGTTCTGTATTAGGGGTCCCAAAATTACTTCATAATCCTTGATACTTAATTTTCAATAAACCTCAATTAACCATTTTAGTCAAAAAATTGGTGAGAGTTCCACACTTACTTGTACAACTGCAATATGCTTGGAGCATGGCCCGCTGTGCTTCTCAATAATCTCATAGTTTCCACAAAGATCATCGATTGATCCCTTCAAAACTTGGCCGACGTAAATCTCTTCCTTCACAAACTCTGAGGTCTAAAATTACATTTTAGTATTTTTTAAGTTTTTGTGCAACATTTCATTATTTTGTAATTTTTAGTGCAACATTTTAGAATTTTGTAATTTTTGTGCAACATTTCAGAATTTTCACATTCTTATTGTAACATTTTAGGAGTAGAGGCACATCTAATTGCATTGAGGAGCATTTGGGTTTTACAAAATACATGGAAATGCTGCGCCCTCAGGGATTTCAATGTGAGGAGAGCACTAGGCCCTAACGCTCAGGGTAGCAATGGACACATTCATACCTTGCTTCTTTTCTCACTTATATCTTCAAGATTGTAGATGTCTTGGTCTTCTTCTGTAACCTTCAATCTGTAAAACACAAAGTTCAGTTCAGAGACACATAGTACATAATTGCATCTCGGGAATTGCATAGTCTAAGTGGAAGGAGTAACAAATCAATTCTAGCTAAGAGTGAATATCATTTTACATCAATGGATTTGGACATTTCTGCTTTTCTTAAATCTTCAATAAGTTGATGAGATATCTCAATTCTGTTAGGCATGCAATTATGCAAAGACAAAACATTCTCCTACAAACAAAAGTCATTATAAATACTCACAGGGTGCCATTAGACAGCATAAGGGTGATGTCTGTGTAGCGGGCTTCAATTCTTCCAACCCATGTGTCCATTGTGACATCACCAGGTTCCAAATCCCAATACTGAAAATAGGACATTCAACCATTTGACTGTACATGCGTGCAAACTATAATACATGTATATGAGCCTAAGCCATAGGAAAACCGGTCTTATCACAAAAATTAAAATTGTTCTACAGAGCCAAAATTGTGCCCAAGATTAAGAGGGAAATGTGCTAAATTCAAATCCGACATTTTGGTTTATATATGCAAGGAAAATTTTTTAAAACATAAGTCATGGTTCATTTGAAACAAGAATATTGAAAAAATCTGTGATAAGACCCCTTTTCCTGGGGCCTGGCTCATATGTAGTCAGGAGTGACTTACAGACAGAATCAGATCTATTGAAAACCTGATTTTTCCATAGATCTTGGCTAGATTCTTTTGAAGTAGGATCAGTAGCTCAATAGATATTCCTCCAGATGAGACACTAAAAAAAATTTGAAAATTTAAAATGACGATTGTGCAGCCATTTCTGAAAAATATGAGACAAATCATACCTCATTCAAAGCGTCTTGTTATTCTTTAATTTTTTAATCACCCATGAACGTTATTCAAGCAAAACTGCGTTGATAAGAGGCCAAAACAGTGATATTTTATTGCCAGGCTCTTGTCTGTCTAAATCTGAATGGTGCTCTTGTGATTCCAGAACAACCGCAACGCCAAAGCATAGCGAATCGAACAGAAATGGCTGGCATTTTTACAAAGCTAACAACAACAAAAAGGTACACTGTAGGTTAGAATAGGAATACAGGGTGTGTCAATGTCTTTTTACATTGTAGGTTAGAATAGGAATACAGGGTGTGTCAATGTCTTTTTACACTGTAGGTTAGAATAGGAATACAGGGTGTGTCAATGTCTTTTTACACTGTAGGTTAGAACAGGAATACAGGGTGTGTCAATGTCTTTACACTGTAGGTTAGAATAGGAATACAGGGTGTGTCAATGTCTTTTTACACTGTAGGTTAGAATAGGAATACAGGGTGTGTCAATGTCTTTTTACACTGTAGGTTAGAACAGGAATACAGGGTGTGTCAATGTCTTTACACTGTATGTTAGAATAGGAATACAGGGTGTGTCAATGTCTTTTTACACTGTATGTTAGAATAGGAATACAGGGTGTGTCAATGTCTTTTTACACTGTAGGTTAGAACAGGAATACAGGGTGTGTCAATGTCTTTACACTGTAGGTTAGAATAGGAATACAGGGTGTGTCAATGTCTTTTTACACTGTAGGTTAGAATAGGAATACAGGGTGTGTCAATGTCTTTTTACACTGTAGGTTAGAACAGGAATACAGGGTGTGTCAATGTCTTTACACTGTATGTTAGAATAGGAATACAGGGTGTGTCAATGTCTTTTTACACTGTAGGTTAGAATAGGAATACAGGGTGTGTCAATGTCTTTACACTGTATGTTAGAATAGGAATACAGGGTGTGTCAATGTCTTTTTACACTGTAGGTTAGAACAGGAATACAGGGTGTGTCAATGTCTTTACACTGTATGTTAGAATAGGAATACAGGGTGTGTCAATGTCTTTACACTGTATGTTAGAATAGGAATACAGGGTGTGTCAATGTCTTTTTACACTGTAGGTTAGAATAGGAATACAGGGTGTGTCAATGTCTTTTGGTTTCTTCCAAAAACCCTACATTGCTACAGTTCAAAGCTGCTTTAATTGTACTTACAGGATATGGATCAACATCCTTGCTGCTGATACCCGTGATGATCTTACTTGTTCCTAAGGCCTGAATGTGGCACATACTGTCAATGAACCGCACATATCCCTGTTGGCTGTTTTTCCCTGCTGACAATCTACGGACAACATCGCCAGGCATTAGGGATCTATCTGACAGTGTTACCTATGAAAAATTAAAAACAAATCAAGGTTCGGTACACAGATGTATCTCACACATAGATGGGGCATTATACGTGCTAAACATATCCACAAAGTGGACTCATACCTGCAACTACATTTCCTCGTTAGACCAAGGGAAAGATCAATACCCGGTGATTTCAGCGGGAAGTGGCGTTTCGTTCATTGGATGAGCTGCGCGCGCACGCATAAATGTGATTATCCAATATAATTAGGGGAGGGCTATTTGAAGTAGTTTTTGGTCTCAGGCGCGACCCAGGGCTGTTGTCTTAAGGACATTTCGTTGAAAATGAGCCATTCGGCTGATAATTGGTAAGAGTTTGCGATCTTATAATGTATAACTGTTACTCAGACACATATTTTGACACGATTCTGTTGGAAATAAGCTTTGAACCGAGAGATATTCACGATTGATATGCACATTTTTGATTGTGCCATTGCTTTTCTATTGCACAACCCATGTATTGATAGAAGAAACATTAATAATACAGATTGGTTTACCTTCAATACATGGCAGACACTACATATCGGTCTATTAATACCAGTTTGTGCCTTAAATAGTTTTATATTTCCATCCACGGCCTGGAGCCTGGGTGTATGTGTATGCTTGTGCATGGACTTCTAATCACTAGCAGAATTTAACATGATGCAAACTCGACATTATAACTCATGCTGTAACATTTTGACTTCGCTGGAAAGCAATAGGAATTATTTTTCTTGCCAATCAATCATGAATCACAATCAAAATTTCAGAATGATCAATCAGGCAATGATCCAAATCAAGTTATAACATTATATGATATTCAGCAAGAAGTCCGGTAGAAATACAGAATATTTAAACATCAAAGCTGAAAGTTAAAAGCTAATCTGTCAATTTTCTGTCTGCAAAAGAGCGTCCCAAGAGCGTTTACATTTGACACAATAACAGACTGAGGCCTTGAAATCTAGGATTCCCCAGGAAAATATGACGTCATACTAATTAGCATAAGGATTTCCCTATTGGGGTGGGTCGAGCCTTGTTCGAAAACACAATCCATAAATACATGCTAATTTCTAAGGAGATAGGAAGTGTATAACGTGTTTATCGATTTTGTTTAAAGATTTAATCAATTATCAAATTGTTTAAGTGGATAAAGTGGTCACACTTGCTTCAATTCATAGCGAAATCGACGGATAGAAACTGACCGAATTCCCGATATCCTACCCCGTATTACTGTAGGCTATAAGCACAGTGACCTACAGAGGGCGCTATCACAAACAAGTACTGGACGAACCGATAAATTCCCGGGTATTGTAACGCCCTTGGTTAGACTACAGTCATCGTTTACAAAATTATTGGATATTGTGAGAGAAGAGCAAGCTATTTCTACGGTATGATTCACAATCAAGAAAATCAATTTATATATATGTAATACTAATAGTGTATTTGGAACCCTTATTAGCTGCTGTTTATACAGCCTAATTTATTGATCAAGTACTCACTGATTTTTCTGATATAACCTCTTCTTTTCCATCGGGATGCCAAGCCACTAACACCTTTCCCTTCTTCAATTCGTCAACTTCTTCACGTTCCTCATCACTGCTGAGGTATTCCGCACTCTCCAGGACAAGACCATACTCCAACCCTTTCCGACCCTCGCGAAAAACAGCGTCTTCCTCGAAAATTGTACATCTTTCCATTTTCCAAAATTTATGAAGGGTTACGTCCAAGAGTCAAACTGTCAGACGTCATCATAATTTCGAAATTTAGTTTCAAATGAATTAAGACAATTAAATACAAATATGAAATATTAAAATTATTTTATAAATCTAAATAATGAAAAGAACCAATTAAAATAATTATTTTATAAACGATAAAATTTATAATTTCGTTTCACAATAGTTGCACATTGAACTGAGCTGACCTACTTTCGAAATGTCTGACAAAGGTGAAAGGTAATGTTTTTCAAAGTGTAATTTATATACTTTCTACGCTTCTAATATTAACATAAACGTGTGTAGCTCGAGTTAATATGTAATGGATTCCATATACATCAAGGGTTTGCATTGTCTGAATGAAACTTGTATGGAATAAAGGATCTAATTTCAAAATTGTTAGATTTTCAAAAATTCGCCACTGTCGTCACGTAAGCAGAAAAGTGTGGGGGGGCTGTTCGTGTACAGTGTAGTCACAGGAGCTTGTCTAGAGGGGCAAGGCCTCTGATGTGTTTGTACTGATATAAGTCAAAGGGCCTCCCTTTGGACATTTGGTATGGCGTTGGGTGTTATTTTGGTTGGTATGGGAACACACTGAAATTTGACAGTTTGGTATGGGAACATGTTGATATCGTGAGGGTTCAGCCTAGTGTCGCGACCCTCGTGTGGTAGCGTGGTTTGAGGGTCGTAAACAGAATACAGTCTAAAAGTCAATCGTTTGATTTTGTGTTTCAATTGACTTAGTTTCGGAACAAGTTCAAGTAAAAGTTGAAAAGTGTATCCCCTATTTAATTGAACAACATCTGTGTTCACAGTACCTAACAAAATGGGATAAAGTGGGGATAAATATATAGGGGATAAAATTGTGATAAATTTTGCGATGAAAATTTACGGGATAATTTAGGGATAAATTCTGGGATAAAAAATAATTGGGATGAAGTGGGACAATTTCGGGATAACAGTTACGGGATAACAATATCTAGGTATAGGCTTAGTTAGATATCTCAGTGTTCAATGTAAATTTTATATTTCTTAAAAGCAAATGGCAACAAACTCAAGATTCTTAATATGCCCAGTGATAAGTTGCATCAAATAAGTATGAAATTAGGGCGTGAGTATGACCAGGTGGAAGTCAAGTTGCAGCCACTTGAGGGCTACAATGGGCTTCAAGTTGTCACTTTTCACAATTAAAGTGGGAAACTTTGTAATGCTTAAAGTAGGGCTTTTTCAAATCAGGAGTCTGTCAAACTCATCAGGGGATAATATTACTAATTCACCATTTAAACACACAAATAACAAAACAGTGGAAGTAAATGGATTTTTATATAATGTTTAAAAACGACTCTATTTCTATTACTATTCTACACAAAAGTTACAAAATCAGTATAGTCAAATGATATATCAAGTACTCAAATGATCTCTCATACACAATGCACAAAACAGCAAAGTCAGTGGAAGTTCAGTAAATCAATTTGCAATAAAGCCCAAAATGTGTTTCTTTCCAAAAATGTAATTCAATTCAGTTCAGCAGTTCAGTTATGTATGATCTCTAGTTGGGTTGAAATCACCTTCCTATACTACTCACATGAAAAGTGGAATGTAGTTTTCCCCTCAATGAGCAAACAAAAGGGTAAGGTATTAAGTATTCTTGCATAAAATCTGTCTATAATCGAAGAACTATATGGAATATAGTTAACATAGATATTGACCAGATATGGAAACTAAATGGGGAGGGGTAGATGGTAAACACTGACCAGAACCCCATACAAGCAAGTGTCAGGTTAAAAGACCCTAAATGGAATCTATACCAACTCAAGCTATGTAGTCAGGGGGTGGTCATAGTGTCTAGACAGCATCTCAAATAGGATTAAAGCCTTATGAGCTGGCTTCAATACTGACTTTGACTCTGCAAGTACTGGGTGCAGAATCAGTGATCAGCTGTTTGATTATGATCAGAAAGAACGCTCGGGATCCCTTTTAAAATACCCAGGCATGAACATACACATATAAAGATACAAAAGTGTGTTTTCTAATGGGTCAATAAAAGTTACTTTGGCAAATAAAATTAATACAGTTTCAAGTTGAATTTAGGGGGGGGGGTCATAAAGATTATTCAATGGAACCCCAGGAACATTGACTCTGGTTTAGAATAAGTTACATCGGTTCCTAAAGACCATAACTTTACGTACACCTTGTCAAATGTTCCATAACAATTCCCGGGACCTCTCGAATTTACAATTGTTCAAAACGTTCTCTCTAAATTCAGGTTTATAAATCAAAACAGATATATAATATGAGAAATCATTCCAAGTTAAAGGATCTAGAATGGCGAATAATGTATCTATTATAAGCAACAATATATAGTAAGGCCAGACGTGTAAAACTGACTAGAAATAAATACAATCAGTGCTTTTGGTATAACATGTATAAGGGAGGGGTTGCAGTAAATAGTCTAAATAGTAATGGGAAGCCCAAAGAAGCCAAATGGGCTTGAAATGGCTTGCCGTGACCTTTGAGGCTTGTCGGCACACAGTGACCCCTGTTCTTATTGAAGTTTCTCCAACCAAACTGGCGGTGAAAAATCACAGAAACAGGTCCTGGGATTTAAATTAGGGAGTGGGTGATAAAGCCCAATTACAGACAATTATCTGAGAAGGAGCTTTACTGTGTAAGCGGGGGTTATTGCCAGTATGGAATAAGACTGAATCAGTTCAAAGCTCAAGCTGATCCAAAAGACGCTAGAAACTTTATATAATCCAAATCAACAGTAGTCCTTTAGCAATAAATCCCCTAAACAGTTTTAAATGAGTGTTTATACATGTTATACACGCTAACTCAGATAAAAAAATAAAAGATACTACAGTGGTCAAAAACCTGTCAAAATTACAATAAAATCAATTCAATTACCTTCCCCAACTTGTTCACCTAAGTTGGTATATCTGTGTTTATATAAATATCCAGTTTTGAGTTGCGTTTTTGAATGTTATAATTCTAAAAAGTTATACACGTCCGGCCCGTTTCAATGCAATGGAGAGAGTCCCCAGACAAGACAGAATCACTGAGCTAAAACAGCTGATTTCCAGCCTAGCCTCGTTTTGGATGAAAGTAAACAAACCCAAAGTTTGGCTATCCCTTGAATGAAAGTTTACAGCACAGTTGCTAACATGAAATTGACCAGTTTTATAACAAAAATTATACGCTGTCATTACTCTACACAATTATGGCATAATATATACAAATATAAAGTTTATGGTTACATGATAAAAACAAGTGAGGACCCGAATTCAATGGATCTTGAATAAATGAAATTGACACTCTCAATTTTAGTCCAGGGCAACTGCCTGTCTATATCAACAACCCTTTTGCAAAATCTTAAAGAGTTCTACATATATTAAATACAACACAAATTAGAGTAACTACAAAAAGTATGTAAGTGCAAAAGTGAAACAAAGTGACAATCCTTCAAGGCAATCCCATTACCATGCTCAAAGTAATCTGAAGGATCGTCACACTGCTCCCCCTTTTAAAAACAGTTCGTCCTCGAACTCTGAAAATACAAATTCATTTATCAACACATCACCTAAAGTAATTTACTAGCAACATTGTTCTGACTTAAGTAGTTGATAGACATATGTACACAATAATATATAATCAGTTTACTACTTACATAAAAACCATAAGTCTAAATCAAACAAATGTTAGTTTACACCTTTTTAATTTCACACCTATAATACACAACATAGAAAGGTTATCATATAACAGTATTATACAAAATGACGTTAAATGATAAATGTCATTTGCAGCATCAGTTGTCTTCTTTGTCCTCTTCTTGCAGATCGTGGTTCTGGGAAGGGGTTGGAGTATTATCCATATTGTTTGCACTAAGTTTATCACGAGTTCATATCATCACATATATGGATGATGCAGGCATTGTTACTGGTTCCCAATCATAGAATGGGAATATGAATATGTTCAATCAGCATTTGGCAGTGCATAGTCTCTAGAACAATATAAAGTTGAGATTGTCAGTCATTCTTCATGGCCTTTCTCAATGTGCAGAGGCTTCACAAAACTGCACAGTAATATAAGTATAGAGTACTTGTCTCTGTTTATAAGCCTTAATTTGCATTGTCAATATTTTAAGTGGCTTCCAATGCCAGTTCATGGGATTCTCCAAATAGTTGGACACACTTTAATCAAAAGTCAATCATGATAGTGTTCAACTGTTCACATTACTCTCAGTCAGCAGAGTGTCAATGTTCATTTTGTTGAAGGTCATCATATGGTTCAGGCTGGACTGGAATAAGAAGTGTTACAGTCCTGCAAATAAGACTGGTTAATTACAGGTAAATTTTGAATATCACATGATATGATGTGAATTGGCCAAAAATAAAGGGTTGTCAAATGAGATTGAATCAATCAAACGTATCCTCAAGATATATCCTTTCACAAACAGTTTCCAATTGGAAGGATTCAGATAATATCTCATAACATTTGTACAGGGAATGATTCAAATTCAGTCACCATTGCCCTTTTTGGTACAAAGGCAGTAGGGAGGGAGGCGAGGTAGGATTCAAACTTGATTGGAACATCCATTGCAGAGGATGGGGTCACAAGCTGGGACAGTTGCTTGAAAGTGGAACTGGGGGTATGAGAGGAACCTACAAAGTCAGTAGTAGGGAAACACTTCAATGAAGCAAATGGACAGAGCTCTTGTCCATCGTGGCACTCACCCCCAGGGGGTCACAAGTTGATCCACCTCATTTAAACAGAAGCAGGGACAAAACTATAATATTGCAATGTCCTTTGGATTCCAATATACCTGTTACCCCAAGCGTAAACAGGCTTCATGTTTGTAAACATTGGTTGATCAGGCCAATGTTCACAATGAACCCCATTGCTTGAGTAAAGCAGGTCACTGGTGATCCATAACATATCAAATAAATAGTTCCCTCTTTGAGGTCATGTCATCACTACCACTGAGCAAAGTGTTTAAAGCTTTACAAGAATCAAAGCCCCAACAGCTCATGTGGTAGACAGAAGTTGGGAAGCATCAGGAATGGAAACGAAATACTTCAGGAAAGAAAAATTAGTTTTCTTTCTTACATTCACATAAGTAAGCATACATTTTCTCACTGAGAAAACTGGCTTACATAAACATTAAAGTAGATCATGGGAAATAAGTATAAAGATAAAGTCATCCGGTTATAAACACAAGTGGCTTCACCAGCCACTCTTTG